AGTAAAAGACAAGGTCTTGTTTTGGCAATCTAGCAAAACATGGTTGGTCGAAAGCTAATCCATTCCAAGAATAATATTTAACTTGGAAAGAGGTAGGCAAATTAGATTAACAAAGAAACTTCTACCTTTAATTTGAAGCAAACAACTCAAACAAACACGAGATGCGATCATAGGATCATTTGCAGGGGTAGAAACAATAACATCGTACTTCATGACAAGGGTAGGTAATTCTAATCGCCTCACACAGGATTAAAAAATGAAAGAATATGTGGTGCCAAAGTCAAATAACACATTAAAAAGAGTCCCATTTAGAATGAATGTACCCTGGATTAGATTCTCAGCTTGAGCAGCCTCAGCACCGCTCATAATGAACACTCATCCTCTAGTATTTGGCCTTCCACTACCAACTCGAGAAACATTACTGGGATTTTGATTCCTCACTTTACTTTGGCTATTTCCATTCCGTTGACTTTGGCTGGGGTTACCACAACTTTCTCTAACCAAGTTATTAGTAGGTTGCCTGCAAAAATGGCCAAGATGTCTCATTCTTTGGCACTTAAGACAAAAGGAAGGTCATTGATGACACTGTAACCTAAAATGAGGACCTCCACAATTGTGGGACACAAGAGTAGGTCGATTCACACTTCTACTACTAGATCCTGGACTTCTAGTAGGTTCACTCCTGTAACTATGCATTGGATTAAAGTAAGGCTTACGCTTCTCTTGAATTCCTTTACCTTTAAAACCCAAAATGCTTGCAGGACGTTGAGGACTAGTATTCCTCCACAAAGCTTGACGATTCTTAGTATCGTCCTTGATTCTTATTATCATCCTCATAGATATGACATCTATCCACCAAAGTTAGAAAATGACGCACCTGTTGACAACTAATGGCTTGTTTGATGTCAGGGTGTAGTCCACTTTCAAACTTAGAACACCTGGACCTATAATTAGCTTGTGCAAAGTATGGGCAATATTTTGACAACTCATCAAACTTTGTCGCATACTCCCCAATACTCATTTGTCCTTGTGTCAAAGTTAGGAACTCTTGTTATCTCCTCCTTCAGAGATCTTCCAGAAAATACTTCTCAAGGAATCGGCGATGAAATGTCTGTCAATCTACAATGGCTCCTTCCGTATCTAACTACTAGCGAGTAATTCGCCACCAATACTTAGCCTCCCCTATGAGCATGAAGGTAGCATAAGTTACCTTCTCCTCAATACAAACCATTGCTTCATAGATCTTCTCTAACTCTTCTATCCATAATTGAGCACCATCAAGATCAAACCAGCCACAAAATTGGGATGGCAAAATTGGGAAGGTTTGTTTTTGCATAACTCAAACAAACCACGATTAGGAGTTAGCTCATTTTGCCTTTCCAGAATGTCCACTACTCTCCTTAATAAGGCATCCACAGTCTCATCCCTAGTTTAGAGTCACAAACATACTACCACACATTACTTTAGCACAAACCAACACGAGGCCTTTCAGTGTACTTCGTCCTTACTCACACACTTTTTTGGAACTCCCCATAAGGTCACCCATCCCATAATTGCCCTAAGTTAAGCACACTTAATTTTGGAGTTCTTAAGTGATAGGCCACTGAAAAGTAAATGTGTTTAGTTAATATAGGTATTCCTAATCAATTTCTTTAAGTTATCCTCAACTATACACAGTCTCTAGATAAGTTGTGGGGACAATCATCAATCCTAAATAAGTTGTCAGGCTGTTACAGTCAGAGGTTTTTAGGAGGATAAGTATTCAGACTGTATAGGTCAGTAGTCTGAGGAGTAGAATCAAAATAGATATCTTGAAAGTAATTTAAGGCAATGGCTTTCAGTCTCACAGGGTCATATTCTCATTTTTTATTATCATTTTTAAGGGCTTCAATTAAATTGTTTTGTCTACGAATCATTGCAACTTTGTGAAAGTATCTAGTATTCCTATCTCCAAGTTTAATCCAATTATCCCTATAGTGGTGATACCAAAAGGTTTCCTCATTATCTAAAATTAGTTAATATTCCTCCAAGAGAGATTTCGTAAGATTTTAGAGAAAAGGGTTGTCTTCTATAGTCAATTTCTTAGAAATTCTCTCAATTCTACTAAAAATATGTTTTTTCCTCATAAATATGTTATCAAATACAGACTTATTTCATTCAGAAATATTGGTTTGAAATCTAGAAACATTAGTTGTCTAGGAGCTAGAGGGGAACCAAGAATTCCTCACTTGGGTATGAAAGTCTTTATGAGAAATTCAATGGGCTAAGAATTTAAAAGACTTACTGATTTGGTGAGAATTGTTACTATCTCTAACTTTTAATCAGAGAGCATGATGATTAGACTTAAGGATTGAATATAAATTACAGAACTATTGTGGAAATGAGATCTCCAAGGGTTATTGGCCACAACTCTATCTAACCTTTCTTTCAAAACTCCCTTTTGCCAAGTAAAAAGAGATTTCTTAAAACCTAAATCTTATAATCCACTAGTGTCAAGGCAATTAGCTAGTTTTCTAATACTAGAGATATTAGCATGTCTTCTTCTTACTTTTTCAAAGTCATAGAGAACAAAATTGAAGTCCCATACTACACACCAAGGGCATTAATGGATGAGTTAAATTAGACTAACTCTTGCCAACACTCAGTTCTAAATCTTTCATGAGGACTAGCATAGATAGAGGACAAGAACCAGTCAAACTAGCTACATTGAGTGATTTTTAGGTGAATGCAATACTTAGACTTAGATATAACAGAAGCCTTAACCTTGTTAGAATTCCAACACCACCAAATTACTATAGCATACCCAACAACATATACTTTCTCAAAACTATCCAAATTAATTTTTTTATTGTCAAATCAGCTTTATTGAGGCTATTCCTCAGCTAAAAAATTGTGAGAAAATCTAAACTATAAATGAAAATTAGGTCATTTATTAGTCCAAGGAAGGATTTCTCCCCTGCATCCCTATTGTTTCAAAATAAATAATTCATTGACTATTGGTTAGGGTAGCCTATACCTAATAGGTGTTGAAATGCTATACTATTACAATCCGTAGGTTAGACATGCTTATGGGCACTCAAAGACTCCTCTAGAAGGGTTTCTACATCTATAACAAGACTAGTGTCAGGTAGTCTATCAGTAGGGGTCATGAACCAAGTTATCATGAGGAATCCATATATACCTAGACCTGACTTCAATTAAATCTTGAATAGAGTATAATAATTTAACATATTCACATTAAAAATATTATTTAAACTTTTAAAAGTTTATTTACTCAAGAGTTTGATAAATTTGATTAAGAGAAATCAATCTTAAATTATTAAATTCAATTGAGACAATGATTAAATTAATTATAACTATAACTTTTATATGTTGCAATAGAAAGAATCAATTCTTACAATTTGCTAAGTAGATATTAAGATATTTAAAATTTAAAGAAAAATATTAGTAACATACTATTTTAACATATTTTTTATTATTAGTTAAAATATATTAAAACTATAAAATTTGAGAGAGAAAGAAATATTAAATTAAGAATGAAAAAATATGATTCACATCATTTTTATAATTTTTAATAAATTTTAACTAATAATCAAGAATATATTAAAAAGAGTATTTTAGAGAGCTCAAATTTAAAATAAACGCAAGCAAAATGTACTTGGAAAGTAAAAATGACTATTTCAAATGTAATGACAATAGAACAAAAGTTTTCAAGAAGTAAAAGATTTTGAGTGCAAAATTAGGAATAAAGTGAAAAAGACTTAAGAGAAGTATAAAAGTGTAGTCTTGATATGATTTATGTTAGTAATATTATTACTTAAAAATTTTAAGATAATGGCAATGGCCAAAATACAAACATCAAAACAACAAATAATTCAAATAACTGAAAAAACAAAAAGAGATGTAAACAAAAATAATGAAACAATGCTTATTTGTTACTTATTGAAAAAATGATCTATCTTCTAACTTTTATAACTCAAATGTTGAGAAGTAAAGTTATTTTTGTTTTGATATTTTATTTTATAATATTTATGTCCCGTTTTGTAACACAACTTACTCTATTGTTTATTGTCAACTCATAAATAGCACTTGTTCCAAATATTCTAAAAATCATAGATATTATATGACATCTCAAATGTTGATGAGGGCAGAGAGTAATTGTGTCAGTGTAAAAAAAAACACAAACAAGAAGCAGACTCTTAATAAATTTACAGCAAAAAGAACATGTGAATAAATTAAATATGCACTAAAATAAGAGAAATCTGAAAATTATATAAATATAAGACTATGTAATTGACTATAGTTTTAAAAAATTAATTTATACTATATTTACTAATAAAATATATTTACTTTTTAGTAACTAAGAACTTCAATATTAAATGTGTTTTACTTGAAAAAAATTTAGATGAATAACTGAAATACATTTATTTTACTTTTAAGATTGAGTGTACTTGACTTAAAATAATTTGAGATAAATGACCTCTTGAAAAATTTTAAAAAGTGTGAAAATGAAGACAAAATAAATATAATGACAAAAATGCTGAAAAAGTCTTATATTAATTTGTGAAAAAAAAAATCCATGGTCTTTGCCTAATGTTACACATCATCAAACAAAATCCATGTTTCTTTGCCTCGAAACTCCATGGCCAATGAATCCAAACTTGAACAATAAAGAATCACTTAGACTTGTACGTCTCTATGGTCAAACTAGACCCACTTCCTTGCCGTGTTTGAACTCAAAATAAAAGCGACAGATAATTGTACAGGGTTCAGACGTGGTGGTCAACAATTGTCTATTATTTGAACTCGTAACACCGTACATAATTTTTTTATATAAATATACACATGCATCCCCCAAAATACACCTCAAGTATAACGAAATTCATTTTTTTTCTTTGGGATGCTAATTGGTAATGGTTTGGTTAGTGACAAAATCTGGAATAGAGACAGTATTTTGGAAAGTTGAAGATGGCACGCATGACAACCTCACTTGTAGTTGGAAAATAGGGCATTCAAGCTAGGAGCACATTTTCAAGTATATAATAAATTTGTGTTACTACAAACACATGGTTCCCTCGTTCAAATGTAAAATCTCTGTCCATCTTCACATCGCTCCATATCATAATGCAAATTACCAAGAAAAATGATGGTATTAATCTACACAAAAGAAATCATGAGATACTAAATGGCACCACCTAATTTGAAGAACTTCAATTTTACAGAGGAAGGGGCAAAACCTATGCTGTAGAAAATCCCAAACTGAAAATAAATGGATTTAATGAGATCCCGAAACAAATGGTAGGGGATATTGGAAATCATGATCATAATTGACTAAATATATACCCTGAAAATTGATAGGAGTGCTACTATTCCCTTTTTCATCACTAGAAACGAACTACAATGCATGAAATATCATCTTTACTCTCTCTCTTCAATGCCTCCGCAGCTAGTTCTTTTGCTGCCTTTTGTGGATCTTTTATCCTTCTTGCAATATCAACTGCCTCTTGGTTTGCCATTACCTGCAATGAAATCAATTATAATATATAAGTGCAAAAAATAATTAATTTTATGAAATAATAGGTAGAAACATATTAGATTGGTGGATAACCTTCCATAGACCATCACTGGCAAGTATCAGAAGCTCAGTATCTTGTTGAATGTCATTATGTTGTACGTCGGGATCCGATCGTAAGTGTGATTTAAGGTTTTTGTCTCCGAATGCTCGAGAAACTGCAAGCTGCCCATTCACTCTTGCAACATCTCCTGATATAACCCCCAACATGTGAAGAAATTACTCCAAATTACACAACACTTGAACAAGGAAGGACTCACATTAATGTTGTAAATATAACTTCACATGAACATGCCAAAACTTGTTTCTTTGGGTATTTGCCACCAGATATTTACACATTCCAAGTTCCAACACTTCTGGGACAAAAGGGAAGGAGTAGAAATGTTCTTTTTGTTTTAATAATATTTTAGTTTATGACCACTAAATCACAATGGATGGTTTTTTAACTTTCTTTAGACCTATCTTTCTCTTTTCTAATAAACGTAAGTCAGGCAGAGGTGGTAACTTTACTTTCAAGATTGCTATATAATTGGTAGTCATCATATGCAAGTCTTCATTGAAACAAAGATGTCGAAATAATGAATTTCAACACCTACATTCACAAACTTTGATCAACAGAGGAAAGTAAATCTTCATTGAAACATAAGCTTTCAACCTGATGTTGGCAAATTGATTTTACAAAGATGTGTTTCTATGTGTGTCTCTTTCTCCCTTTGTCTTTGAAAATGCAAATGAGACTCATGCAAATATACCTTTCCAAAGCACTTCACATTATTGAAATCTCATAGAATGACGAGATAAATCTCGCATCCAACATGTAAGCAATATCTCATAGACATTAACTCGTCAAGGTTTATTAAAGAACCTGGCATGTTTGAGACAAAGCCGCCTTTGTTCTCGATGATGCCCCTTTCGGTATTGGGCTCATGATCAGTAGTCATCTGTATGGCCACCCCTCTCCTTGACAGAACTGCTCGTGAATCTCCAACATTTGCTACCCATAACTTCCGATTGTTAATAAGAATTGCAGTCACTGCAGTGGACCCTCCTCGCCCCAAATCAGAACTGTGAGAAAGGATAGCCTGATCTGTTGTCTCATAAGCTCTAATGATGGAACTATTTGGATCAGTCCAGAAGTCCTCCTGGAATAATAAAAGAGAAAATTAGGCCAAATTACAAATTTCATCAAGACAGCAAGTTCAACCAAATTATATTTCATCCTGTTGATATTGATCATAAAAAAAAAAAGTATGGGAAGCTTAAAACAAACAAAAAGTCTCCAACTCCATACTATATGTAGCATATAACAAGAAAAAAAAGGAGGGGAAAAACTTTAACCAAGGAATCATATGTGATTAAGGTAATAATCATTACGCGATACTTTTAGTTTGGTTCAATAACTCACTTCCTTCAAGATATTAGAAAAGAGATGCTTTTGAAGATAGGCCGGCACACTGTCTCCCAAGTGTCCATCATATATAGCAAAAAGTCCTAACTCATGGTCTCTAAACTGGACAATTTTTGCTACGTGATAGTCCTCCATTGGGTGGTCTGCTTTCCCTTTAACCAGGCTAAAGCCATACTTAACTGAGCTTTGATTGCTCTTGCCCTTGCCAGAGTAAGATGAACGTCCTCCTCCAACCACCTAAAACAATGGAAGTTAAAGTTAAAATACAATAACAAAAGAATCTACTGTTTAACAAATTAGTACAAGAAATATTAAACAAATGATTAAAAAGAAAAAATGTACATGGTTGATTACCAAAGGGCACATAACATAAATGCAACGAAAGGAAATAGGAAGCGATCAATACAATCCACATTCAGAAATAGAACAGAGAAACACAATCTGTACTAGATAAGTTCATCTTGTTTGGAAATGTCAAACTTAAAATGGCACAACCCCAGAATTTTATCTATCTATCAGCACCAACAACCGAATTGATAAGGACCTAAAGGAGATGGAAATATAATATAGCTCAAAAGTAGACGGAAAACCACCAATGAAACAAGGGTCAAAAGTAGATTAATTAGACAGCTTTGATGTTTAAAGGAACCGTTGAAATGAGCCTTATCCCTTACCTCACAAATTAGCTAGTTTACAACAGAAACTCCAATGCTGGATGCTCCAACTATGTCCAGCATTGTGTAGCACCAAACTCATGTAAAGACTCAATAAACAAGCCAGTATTTAGTTTGGGATCAAACTTTTCAAGCCACAAAGGAGGTAAAGAATCACACAGATGATCATATCAATAAGCTGCCTTGAAACATCAAACGCATAGCATATGCTCCAATTTAGTCATAATCCACGACTGCTAGTATTTGTTGCCCTTATTCTCCACAACTGTTCTGATGACTATGTTACTGACTAAAAGCCCGAAAACTATCCTTATGTTTCAATTCTCATAATAAAAAAAGCTTAGAAAAATAAATTTGGGAACAGTCCTGAGCCATTCACTCCACCAGCAACACTCAATCCTCAAACACACAAACGCTGCATCTAAGGCCCCTTTAAAACACATGAAAATCTCCTAAAACATTTAGGAATTGTGTATGCATGGAGATTGATTATTCCAAAATAACATTAATAAAGAGGGCAGAAATCCTGACCTGATTGACAGAGCTGAAGCAACAGAGACTATCCATATTATAATTCAGCCCCGCCTCACCTTTTTTGTCTATCACTCAACATCTAACTCCTCTGCTAATCTTCAGAACCGAAAATTCCACAAAAACTTGACGTCAGAAACTCCACAACTTTCCAAGAACTATGAATTATCAGCAAAATATTCCCATCACTCAAGCAAGCAATTCTAACAAGCAGAACAACCCTCCCCAAAGAGGAAGAGAAAAAAGGAAAATTTTCAACACCCAGATGATCAACTGGTTCAAAGGCACAACCAATCCAAAAATTTCAACTTTTCCACAGAAAACGAGAGGAGAGATCTTTATTGGAAGTGGGTGGTTACCGATTCTGCGGTCCTACGTAGGAAATGAGGAGAAAGAGACACACCAATCACATAGAACACCGAAGGGAAAGCTTAAATACCCCGTCTTATAGAAAGAGATTATGAACAAGAAAGAATACAATAGAATAGAAGATGAAGGTGTAACCGTCTTGTTCTTGTTGAGAAGTCTTGTTTGCAATGGCTGCCAAAAGGCAGAGCTTGCCCTTATTGACTTTGCAGTTTTGTATTTGTTGTTTTTATTGCTACGCTGACACAATTTGTTTGATTATTACAGCTGTTTTGAGGTTTCAGAGTTCGTATAAACAGCCATTGGTTGGGGTGGGGACTTGTAAGACTTCAAAAGTCAGCAAAATTTTCTACCCTCAATTCTCTCATTAGTGCTCTAACTCTTGTCCCAAAAGGATAACAAAAACAAATTTATTAACAAAACGTTTTATTTTATTTTTTAATGAAGCATATAAGAAAATGAGATTTATATATATATATATATATATTATAAGGGAAAATGGATCTGCATTAAATAAGTCAACCCTGCAGGTTAGATTTTTCAGACAGGACATTAACTTTCTGAGCATGGAAACATACAAATCAGCAATTGACGACAAAAAAGTGTCATGGGTTTAATCTTTAGATTTTTATTTTTCAAACAGGACATTAAATGCCAAATGTGAGAGTGAAGAACACAGAAGTTTGCAACTTTGAAGGCAAGGAATCTTGTGGGGCACCGGCTTAATTTTAGATGAAGTTAAATTGTTAGGGATAGGTGATAGACACTGCTGACAGTCTCAGAAAGTCAGAAACATTTTTTGTTTTTTGTTCTAAATTATACCACAGGTCCACCCGCTACTTCATATACCAGTAAAAGCTGAATGGTCAAATTACAATTGCAGAGCTATTTGGTTCATGTGGCCCTGCACCACTCATCCCAGCTCCCTAACAAGCATCTCACCCAAAATTCTGGATTTCCAGTTTAAATTTTAAATTCAAACAAGAAAAATAAAAATTATGATCACATGCCGTCAACTATTTATGAAATAGTTCAAAGCTTTTAGTTTTACAAATAAAATTTAAAGGTCAAACTAAATTCACCCTTTACACGTGCACACACATTAAATACTACTTTTTAAAATTCTTTTATAAAACCAAAATTCATACACTAACAAATATTTACAAAAATTATCGTAAATATAAGAAAAGTTAAACCCTTTTTTATCTTTCTACCTTCTAGTACTAGTATACGTGCAATTTCTATCTTCTTACGAAGTTTACCTTCGCAGTCTTTACACAAAAAGGGATAAATTTATGTTTTATGGCTAATTTTTTTACTTACACAAAAAAAAAACCTTATAGATACTAAAATAATAATGCATATCCTGCTTTTTTTTTCTCCTGATTTATTTATTCTTATTAATTTTCCTTCACATAACGGTCTTTTTTTTAATAAACATTAACTAGTGTCTTAAATTAAGAAATTAAAAATGAAAAATTTTATAAAATATTATTAATATATTTTTACCATAGTTTTTAATAGAAATTTTATATATATTAATTTCTAAACCTATAATCTAAAATAACTATTTATCTTCATTACTTTAATTCTAACGGGACCCTTTTTAGTTTTTTACTTCTTCCCGTGGAAATGCAGGGACGCAGTTTCTGGTTTCATAATAAAACGCACCGTCCAGCACGTTTAATTAGAGAACAATATAACTCGCAAGCACAGGACGCAAAAAATTCGCTGAAAAAGGGATATTCGACATCTCACCCCACATGAGTATATGACACATATATACACTATTCTCGATTTTAACTTAGTTAATGAATGTTAACAATAAACATTACGAAAATGGAAAATGAATAGGACTTTCAAATTCAAAAAGGGGAAAAGGAAAAAGCTACTAAGGCATAAATATATGATAGCGGATGTGCGCATTATAACAGACATGAAAGGGTCGACTCCCCTTGAGCTGCTTGCATTTGTCTGTGCAGTGTTTGGTGGAAGCAATAGCATAAAGCCAAGTCAAATCCCATTGTGATTTGATAGCACAAAAGAAAAGAAAATATAATAAAATAAAAGGAAAAACTGTTTTCTTTTTTGTTATCGTTGCCATGGAAAATATATGATTTACCATTAAAAAGAAAATTCACGTGTCTTTTTTATATTTTAGTTATATTTTTAAAATGTCTATAAGAAATAAAAATAATAATATACAGTGTTATATATAATATTAATTTTAAATAATTTAAATAACGGAACTTACGTTGACCTCATGGTCATCACAGGTAACAGCCAACATGCACGAGTGCCTCCCCTGTTTCTGTTGGTCTGTTACTGATGAACAGAGGAACTTTCCCTGTTTCTCCTTCTTTCAATTCAAATGTTGGAATCGTAATTTCTTTACTTTCACATGCAACTGGTGCGCATTCCCATGAGGGTATCTGAATACGGGGGGAGGTGAAGGTCTTCCATTGTGGATTTTGTTGTTAATTTTGCTTGTGCTAACCTGCATGCTCATTTCATGGTTTGGTAGGTTAGGGAAGTGTGAGGAGAATTTATCAGCATGTATCTTTGGAACAATCTTTTATCTGTTAGGAAATTCAGAGCTCTCCCTTTTTTCTTATTTGGCCATACAATTCTAGTACATTTAGAATCATGTTAGAACTGCAAACCTGAGACGGGTCTATCTAACATTATTATTTTCAAATCCAATTCCAGTTTCAATATGCAAATCACTTTTCTCTTTGAAGTCAGAAGCAATTTTATTTCACTCTATTTAATTCAATTCTTTGGCATAATAATGGCAAAAAAGAAGATTCAAAAAATAACAATTTAGAAGCAGGGGCAAGCTCCATACTTATGCATTGCGTCTCTTTTGGGTTACGATATATCACACGCATATTTTCTTATGAAATGACCGCAATAACAGTCATTTGTGTTGATTTTTGTAAATTACATTACGTCTCTCACATATTTCAAACAACAAGTGTATCAGCACATAAACTTAGGCCTGCTTACTTAATTATCGATGGATTTATATACTTCTTGCACCCAAGGGTACAAATTTGACCTCCTTACCACCATTCTAATCTTTTAAATAATAAGTACAAATAAAGCAAGAAAAATACTGTTCACTTTTCAGACATGATTATTAAGTAAAATAGTATGCCTTGCTCTCTAATGAATTCCAAATTGAAGAGAACCTAAATTCAATGAACGGTACAGGCCTTGCACTTACAGTCAGCGAAATGTGCTCTCATGTATGCATTTTTATGAAAAAAGTAGAGTAATAAGACATGAGTCTCTGATGGTTCCACACCACCCGAAAATTTTACGTTTTAGCAGAGATGCCATAGCACAATCCAAACTGTCAGCCAAAAACGGTGCACATCTTACTAACTGCTGGAACTGCATTGTTCCTCGACTATAGTACATCTAGATTCAAGTATGGTTTCAGTAACTACAAGAACAACCCTATTTAAATTAAACTAGATTGAATTAGCTTATTTAAAAACGTAAATATTTTTTACATCTTGTTAAAGCATGTTCAAACTATTATTAATCGGTTTTCAATTTCTGAAATCTAAGGTGAGTTGCAATTTCTTATCCTGTTGCTATTCTGTTCATTTCAAAATCAAGCGAAGAAAAATAATTGATCAGCAAATTACATATGTGGATAATTTTAAATCTTATATCTTGTTAATCCTTCTACTTATTAAATTAAAGTCATTATTCATTTTAAAGATATCAAATGCATTTTACTTTTCCCTCACACGAAGATTATTTTGGAGAATATGACTTTTACACTTAATTAAGCTTGATAAAATTAATTTCACGATATTAACCTGCATCAAATATAGAAACATCTTTTCTGTAAGCTTATTATCTACTGACCCATTAGTGACCAACAGGCCTTAAGAGGCGTTGGATATGCAGAAGAATAAAACAAAAATGAGCGCCTAAACTAGTATTACTGTGAATTTCCCAAGTGAACAGTGTGAAGTGCATTAAATAAGTCTTATTGAAGCTGTGCTAAATTTTCCAATTATGCGATGATTACAAACAAAACCCGGTACATTGCAACCGTACAGGAACAAGAAGGAAGGAGATTATCAGAGGCGATGTGTACATAATAAGGCTGAAAGAAATGCATGATAAACCAAGAACCTAATGTCAATATCTTCCACAGCACAAAAGTAAACATGCTAAAATGGAAAACTAAGAAAAATGAGAAGGATACGACTAAACTGACAAATTGCCTAAGTAAATAAAAAAGTAAGCGATTAAACAGGCTTATCATAATTAGCATTTGGTGACATTCCTCTCGCCATAGTCTTTTGTACAAATTGCAGTTATACATTGGCAAGTTACACCATTTATGTTATAACCCCCATCCATCTATAAACAGAACCATCCTGTCATACAAAAATCACCATAAATAAAATCAAGCCATGTTTCATTAGATTACAATATCTAAATTGTCAAACCAGAGTGCATGCTAGCGATCATAATCTATTTATATGCAGCCTTGGGTCCAAGTAATTTTGATTAGAAATATATACAACAAGATGTTAAGACTTCCCCAATGCCAGATAAAGCCAACTGGCCATGTATTTGCAGCGGGGATGATAAGAGTTTCCATTGCAGGTCAATCAAATGCTATAGGAATGAAATTATCATCATCTAAAAGCATATCAATATCAATCAAGTCCTCTACCCCATCAACTGTCTCTTCAGAATTGATCAAACCCACATTACATGCCTGCCAGATATCAAATGATTATAAGCATATGATTAAGCCAAATACTAATGAATTTAAGGACCTGTCAGATGTTAACAAAAACCTTGGTTTGGCGGAAGTCCTCAACAACATTTAGTAGCCGCCGGTATTGAGCCCGTGCCTCTGGATACTGAACCATGGACTTCACCCTTGATAGGGCCTTTTGGATTTTTTCCTCTTTTTGTTTCCGTCCTTCCTTGAGATAATCATAATCATCCTCTTTCACAGAATCATTTTGTTGAATGGGGACTTTATTAAGGGCATCTGGTCGAAATCCACGTAAACCACTACCTTTGCGCCTCCAGCGTAATATGACCTTCTCCAAGATTCCCACAGACCAGATGATTGTTTTATACTGTTTCCTTACCTGATGACCTCTTACATGGGCCTTGACACCACAGAATTCAACAGTCAGTGGAAGTATATGTCAAGTGCACAGGGACGACACAAGATAAAATCAAATGCAAAGGGACTGAGTATAAAAGAGACCCAAAAAAATGACAAGCAAAATAGCAATCTCTAAAGAGTCTTTGTTTTAGGGGTGGATGGTAGGGTTACATTGGAGGTGCAGGTAGCATGGAGGCGAAGAGCAAAGTTGCTTGGCAAACATCAACTTCACGCCTATGTTTCAAGACTTGGAACAGAGATAATTGAAATATAAGCTGTGGGCAGTCTCAGAATATCTTTTCCAGTAGCTTTCTAAACCTTTTTCTTTTAATTTTTGGGTTGTGTCCTCAATTTGAATTTTTTGTTCCTACTCAGGTCGTGGAGAAAAAACTTCAAGGCTATTGTACGATATATGATATTATTTGGTGTATTTTCTTGGAGTAAAAAGCTACCCATTACATGACTGCTATTAAGGCTTCCAACTGGCGCTCAAGCACATGATTTCATGAATGTTAAGCACCACTAACTCACCAAGTAAATGCAGGGAAAGACAAACCCAATATAAGGAATATTTTAATGCATGGTGTTTTCTCATATTCTGGATTGCCTTCTCAAGTTTGAAAATCACACCCAATGTGTGATCCACGTGTACATGCAAGATATAAAGAAATTTTCCATTCTTATCCTGAGTTTTTATCAATCAAAATCTCCAATATGATAAACTTTGCACCTTTAATTTACACAACAGCGGAATAATACATAAAACGATTCAATGAGAAAATAAGAACATCTAAAAATATTCTAAGTTACTTAAAATAGTGTTCATAATATTAAGGATGCAAACTCAAGTGAATTAGAGCAGAGCATTGAACCTGGATTTTAACAATTCTTTGACGAGTAATCAAAAATTCTTTTCTCTTCTTCCAACCACGGAACTTTTTCTGTATTTGTATAGCAGCTGCATTGGCTAAACCATCTCCTTGTCCAGATTTGTAGGCCTTAGAAACTAGAAGGGAAAGAGCTTGCTGATCTGACAAGCCAAACTCATCGTCTTCATACTGAGTTAACTGCTTCCGCTGAAATGACTGCATTCTATATACTTGATGAATACGATCAGCAGCTTGTGTTGCGTTACGCACAGCAGTAAGTGAATCCTTAAGGCAGAGGACATCTGGCATATCACCATAGTGCACAGGTGTTGCAGTTCGTTCTGAAACTGTCTGCACTGCTTTCATTCCTGAAATTTCTTGCCTACCACCTTTATGTTGATCATCCATTGTGAGTGTTGCAAGATGGTGAGTTAATGAAGACTCAGCAAGAAAACCAGAGATTCCTTTGTGCCCATTGCTATAGGCAAGATCTGCAGCTGTTCTACCGCCAGGAAATGATGGAGATGGATCTGTGAATAATCCAGATTCTGCACCCATGGAGACAAGGACAGCAACTGTCCGCTCTCTGAGAAGGACAAAGAATAACATAAGGCATCAATTTATTTTATGCTGAACATAATATGTTTGAGAACAGTTTTGAGGGTAACAAGCACTGCTTTGACTAATGCCAAAAACAGAGTGAACTATAGAGAACCTTCTGTAATCTGCCTTTGACTAAACGAAGTGATGTTTTGGGGATAACTCTAAGCTAGCTAATTTGCACAGATAAGAAAAACTGTGGAGATGTCATGCACCAAAACAGTCTGAATAGTAAGGGGGAAGAAAAAATACATTCATACAACACACTAAAATTCTCTTACCACCCTGTAGAGGAAGAAACTTAAATCAGCTTCATATGCTAGGACAAACTAAAAATATTAAGAATATCAGGGCAGTAAAAGAAGGTTCAACCAGATTAGTATAGATAACTTATGCCCAGTAAACTCAGCTCAATAAAGTGGGGAAAAAATCTCAAGGATCCTTACCTGCCAAAGGATGCAGCCCAATGAACAGCTGTCCATCCATTCACATCTCGGAAGTTGATATTAACTCCAGCAGATATGATTGGATTTAAGGCCCAATCATAACCAAGAACAGCTGCTAAATGTAGCACACCCTGCCCGTCCTTATCTAATATGTTTGGCCCTTTACCATTCTCAGTTACTTTGTGAAGAAGCCATGAATACAGCTTCTCTTTAATCTGCCTGTGAAACAGAAGCTCCTTCACCTTGTATTGGGATATATCCATCTCTACAGTTGGTTCTTCCCTGTTTGAATATTCTTCCTCTCTCAGAGCAATAAGCTTAAAAATTAAGTTTCTTTTTTCCACATCACCCTCAAAGGTTTGATTTGAAGAATCCACTGGCTTTAAAGAAAGAAACTCTTCCAGTCGCCAATGAAGCAGCATTTCAGTTGAACTATTAAAAAAATCTGAAAAATCTACATTTCTGGCAAGGCCCTCTCTGAAATCGAATTCCCGCACTTCACTACAAGCTAACCTATTGGAACACGTTACATAGAAAGGGACGCGTCCAACCTTATGAGGTGGAGCTTGACAGCACAAAATTCCATCATCTAAAATCTTAGCAGGAACCTCAACTTCCCCAAACATACAGGACCAATTACAAGTTGTCACCTCCGGTTGACTCTTCAAAAATGATCCAATAATCAACACCTGTATAGTTGTAAATAGGATAAGATGTCAATTGAGCTCCACCTGGTTCTTTCTTCATTTCATCTTTAAACAGAGACTTAATCTAAACTAGAAAATGGAGTGAAACCATTAATCATATATATAACATACCACAGGGGAGGGGAGAAAGAAGTAAGATTGCAGGATGCATTAAGAAATACCAAGATGTAGAAGAAATACAAAATGGGGAACATTAACATTAAAAAAAGTAGAGCAAATACTGCAAAGCATCTGAGTCAGTATTATCCACATTTTCTCCTCTCTTTGCTATTGACAGCATTATTCACAAGACCAGTACCTCAATTTCAGACTCAGAATAAGCCCATTTAGGAGAAAAATCATTTATGGTAAACAGTTGGTCCTGAGAGAGAGATGGGCTCAATGAGTTATCATCTATTGCATGCACATATTCATCTGTACTCCATGAAATACCAGGTGAGGACTGCATATTCAAATCAGCCACTTCTCCAAGTTCTTTGGAAATCCACCGAGAGAAGCTATCAACCTTCTTCAGGCTCTCGTCTCTGTCCAATAATGAGCGCCTTACAGTTAAGGTATAGTTGATAGTTTCTTCACCATGAACTTTATTTGTAGAATTTGATTTTAGTGCATGTTGAGATTGTTCACCAGCATGCCCTTCTGGATAATTTTGCTGCATAGGCTGCTCTTTTAGCTCACCATCAAAACTATATAGGATCGGAGCAATTTCAGACCTTGCATTATGAGTTTCATTCCCAAGTAAACCAGATTCATAATCAGATCCAAATTCCAAACTCAATGATTGGGCTAATGTCGGCATGTGTCCTGAATTGTCGTCAAAAGGAATCTGCATCAAATCAAATAAAAAAATGAAAAAGGTCATATTTTCTTGCTGAATCTCATAAATAGGAGTAGTTTGAAATTTACAAATATGAGAAACCAAACAAACTCAAAGTTAAAATTTTCAAAGTATAGCAATCAAAAGATAAAATTGCGTCACTGACACTAAACCAAGCCAATACCCAGTCATGGCTGCACAATAAAATATTTAAGAAGAATTCAAGCTAATAAATACTCATCTCAACAAAAGATTGCATACAGATACATCTGGAGAAAGTTCAAGTCACTCAAAAAATTGTAATATGGATTCTGGTATTATAGAATTTCCTAAAGTTTCAGAAACAATTCAAAATCATTTAGTTTGACACATTCAGTCCAATACTAGACAGCTAAAAATAAAGTACATCATTGAGTTTAACTAAAATTATTAATGAAGGTTGTAGTTCAAGTGGCTCTGGCACAGGTGACAGGCTTTAGTCTCAAACTCTCAAATTAAGTCTTTTTATCCCAAAAAATAAGCCATCGATGAGAGATAGGACTACTTATGTATGTATACACACACAATGCAGTAAAAGTAATTACCTGCCAATTTGATTCGAGAGACTGAGAGCTCTCAGCTTCCTTAGCAAGACCATTTTTGCTCATTAAAAGGTCATCAAAAACAGTATGTTCTTGCTCAAGGATGTTTCCCATTGAACTAGATGGGATAGAAGGAAACAATGCATGAGTAGGGTTACTACCCAATTCAACAGTGCTTTGCAAGACTGGTATATAATCTGTTCCGGAAATTGATGATTGTCCATGATCACCTGAAAATGTTTTAAGGCATTCACGGGAAAATATACATGCATCAGAGGTTGCCTAATAGAAGTTACAAAATACGTGAGACAACAAAAAAGGACCACTCCCCAGCAGTGAGTCGTGTAATGGGCATAACCCAGAATTTGATTGGTGGATATCCTCCGGAAAGAATTATGATTAAACCACTCAAGGAGGCTAAATGGGCCAAACTATTGCACAAATATTTGTTGTGACAGTAAACCAATATATTTAAAGCCTTGGTGTATGAATTCATTTCACAGACTACATAAAATTTTGGGCAGAATTACCAGAATCAGCATCTTCATGTAAAGATGTCAAACTGGTAGCCAGGCTCACAGAATCTGTACTCAGTGATGGCACACTGCTATAAGGTGAGTGAAAGCCAGATGATGGAGAGGTGACCTTATGCGAATCTGATGTGACCTCATCACTATCAGTATTTCCTCCAATATTTGTCTTGTTACCCTGAGAAATAAGAATGCAGAAGATATCTATGAATAAGTCATTAAGCAAACAAGTCAATCAAGACCAGAACCATAAAAACAGATTCTTCTGTATCAAACAGCTTGAAATTCTTTCTGCCTGATTTCAAGAATAATGATAGAAATCGATTTCAGGATCATTTCAAAAAGGCTTAGGGCACGTTTGGAAACTCAACTTGATTAAATGCTCATTCAATAAGCTTTTTTTATACGAAGTCTTATGCAATCAATTTGACCATAAAACTTCTCAAAGTATACTGGAAAAAGCTTATTCTAAGAACTTATAATGAAAAAGTTATTAAAATATGCTAAAATACAACTCATGAAAGTTATAAGCTATTTCCATAAGCTCTTCCAAATACCCCCCCCCCCCTTATGCATCTTTGGTATCATCAGTTAAGATTTTTAACAAAATGGAGCCATCGCATGGCAGTAAAATTTAGCATACCAGCTGAAGAGTAATTAATGCATTTCAACATTTTGGATGGTATAAGGATTTAGCTTAGCCGCACTGGTTTATCAATACAAAAAAAAAGTGTATAAACAATTCCCATGGTAATAAAATCAGTAGGAACTCAGATAGCATCTGGATTAGAATCAACAATTATCTTTGAAGGGGAAAAAAAGTAATTGTATAAGTAACCTCATTCCATTTTAGATGGACACTTCAAGGATGAAACAAATGGGAACAAAAGGCATAAAACTTATCCTTCCTATTAGATATACTTACCTTTGAGACTTTCCTGATCTCCCTCTTTACCAAGTGAGCCCAGATAAATATTTTTTTGGGTCAACTTGAGAGAGTTTTGATTATTACTCCAAAAATCAAACCCAAAGTTAAGCATATCAATGTCTTGTTTTCTTATTGCAAAATAGACACAGCTACCACATCATTTTATAGGTATGACTAAATGTATTCCCTCGTTCTCACAATTGAACAAGAAAACTACTTGCATATCCTACAAAAGTACACCTAAAGCAAAGATACAATGTCCAAATTTAAAACTTCACCATATTCTGGATGGATTTAATTTTGATCGTTGATCACAACAACACTGAACAAAAACTCTTTCAATGATGTAGCATGTCATTAAGCAATACTTATAGCATAAAAAAATTTATGTTGACAGTGGATCAAATTACTGTCAATTTAGATGTCATACAAATCATATCTAATACATAGATTAGTGATGTTTTCCACTCAAGTACACATTATTAAAAAAATCAAGCTACGTGTACTTCATCAGTTCAGTTACCAACACTAGTAACAGCTATGGTTATCAAAATATAAAAAGAACCAAATTGAGTTGCAACAGTAGCATCAATCATTCTTGATGGCTTGGCATAGACTATAACAAATTCCACTCTTTCTTCCTTAAAATGTGTCATGATATTTTGGAAAGCATAAAAACTCAAATGTTACATAGATGACACTTTTCAACCATGTCAAAGCCTCTAGAATCTGTCGTAAATATATAGCCCAAAAGCTAGGAATGAAAGAGAATTATAATTGATAAATATACACAAGTAACACAACCACTGATGATAACAAAAAAAAAATTTAATTACAGAAAAAAAACATAGAAATGAGTAAAATACCTTAACATCCAAGTAATGGACAAATACAATGTGCATCATATCCCTGCAATAAAAGAAAATTAACAAGAAAATCATATTTTGATTAACTATAAGAAGAAATAAAATATTTCAGTAGATATATACTGAAAATTCAAATTAGCTAAAATATAGGCAAAGTTGTTAGAAACTTACAACCACAATAGTATTAAAAGTCTTTATCTACAATTTTTTAGATAAAAAAAAATGAGGGAGAATTAGGTGGATTAGTGGATCACAATCAAGGGTGACAAAAGAAATCCTTAAACATTGAAAATATTAAAAAGAAAAGAGAACAGGGAAGAAGAATACAGTAAAGCTGCCCTATCAACATGTCAAATGTAACAACTCCTTTGAAACATCCGAGTAGAACACCAAAGAAAAACCAAAATTGTAGCTCTATTCACCAACTTGGGGGAAAAGTAACACCCTTAAAAAACATAGGCAAATTAAACTCACTCCCTGAAGTTTAATGAAATTTCACTTACTACCCTTTTCTTTTTTTATCCTACACAAACCTCCCTTAATTTGTATAACAAAAACACTATATACCATTTTCAATTACACAGACCTCCCTAATTTTGTATGCGTTTATATGAAATAAGGGAAGTCAAAGTAATGCAAAAAAAAAAAAGAGAGATATAGGGTAAATTTTCATTAAACCTAAGATAGTGTGAATGTAATTTTCCCTAAAAACTTTGATCAATGCATTGACATGAGATATGATAGCAAATGCACTAATGTAGCCCTTTCTAACAAACCTACTGAGAAACAAACACAGGAAACATATATGTACTTCCATTTCCAAGACATATTACACATTCTGGTACATAAATTAGTTCATACTCACGGTTCAAGCATCCAATAGCTTCGCCTTTGAAAATTTTCATTTTCTTCTCCATGTGCATAGTAGCAGTGTAACACATCAACACTTCCAACCTAAATTTGCTTGAATGATGTTACAACCCCAATGAATAATTGTTTAACAGTACAGACGCTTTCCAATTTAGAGAAGACTAATTGTAAACTTTTCAATCATCTTATCTACATTCTAGTCTTACAAAAAATAGATTAACTACAAAGTCTAAACAGAAGCAAGTTATAAACTTACCTTCAACTTTTCATGAGCTTCTTTCACAGTTTTCCCATCTCTTTTCTTTCGCCAATTATGCCCATCCTTTCTAAAGTATCTCAAAACCTTCCGATCAAAAAGAAAAAGTGAACCACCTGAAATCATGAAATAAAAATCATTAAGTGACACCATTACAAGCATGAAGTAATGATAGGAACTAAAAGATGGATTGAACTTAATATCGAAGCAACATTTAGCAGAACAACAAAATAATACTAATAATACCCTAAAAAGTAAAAACTATGGAATTGTCAAGATTATGCAACAAGAATAAAAGGTGCTCTTTTGCTACCAAACTTCATGAAACAAATATTTAACAATTGCCCAATGTGCCTGTATTCCATGAACTGAAATATATGGGGCGTATTAGAACATGAATGCCTTAAGTTCAGATAATGAATAATTAAAGAACTTAGTACAGCTTTAAAAGGAATATTAAATTCAGTTAAATGAACCCAAGGAGGCAATACTTCCACGTCCAACCACATTGTTTATCACCTAAAAGCTGTTATTAATTCCTGTTCAAACAATTCATGGAAAAAGCAGTGCTTTTAAGCTTAAGCTTATTGGGTAATTTGTTCAACACATGTAAGAGTTATATAACAGTATATACAGGAGCCAATTTTTTTATCAGTAACATATGCAGTAATCATACTCGGTGGCCTGTTATGAGGTTCTGATGTGATGTGAAACATCCGATAATTACGAAGAATTTCACAAATTTCTGCAGGTCGCAACCACCGATGCTGAGCTTCAAATTGTAATTGTTGAATGTCTGCAAAATGATATTAAGGCATTCAGTCAAATACTTTATTCTTGCATTACTGACACCAATGAAAAAAAGAAAGATAAGACTGACATATGAAAAGAACACCCATGTTGTTAGTCATTGCGTTGAATATTGAGATAAAAGTATCCAGTCCACAAACTAAACATCCTATTAGTCCCAAAAAATTATCAACTTAGCTACCAAATATATTCATTTCTTCAGAATCTGCTTTATTTTACATGATTATTTGCACTTGTTTGGTGTTCAGAATAGTTTGAAATAAAAATGTTGTGGAGAGTTTTAATCTGAAAATCTGTTTTGAGTAAAATTAATCATATCCAAACAGACACAGCATCCTCTAGTAGGAAAATTCTCCAAATGTACATGCTTTCTAGGTCGAACTAAATCTTTAGAAAATAGCTACAAGTCTGACAACACTATTTAGGTTAGTTCATTTTACGGGATTGGGATAAGTGCATCTGCGGGATTAGTTTGTCTTATCACTTAGAATCCGGACAACTGGAACATTGCATGTAGTATGGAGGAAGTAAAGTAAAGAACATAACTATATTAAGTGAAGCAATACCATCAACAGCTCACATCGATCGAACCTAGACGACAGTGTTATCTAAATGCAATCAATGACACTTTTCCACCTACAAAGCCTAATTGGACTAAAAAAACACCAAAATGGTTATTCCCAAATCGATTGGACATAGGTTTTGGTCGACCTCAGAAAAGGTCGAACTTTAAGTCCATCAGCAAAGCTATTAACAGTGACAGACACTCAGTCCCAACTATTCAACTAAGGAAACGCAATCAATAGCTGAGAATTGAAATTCTATGAAGCTCTGTGGCGAGAAATCACGCCGAAAAAACAAATAAAAATACAGGATCGAAGGATTCCACGAGCAATTAAGAAACCAAAAAAATATAATTAGAATTAGAAAATGACCTAATCGAGGACCCAATCCGTAAGAAGCATGCTCCGCCATGGCGAAGACTGAATCTGAGATCAACCAAACGACGAGACCAGCGACGAGAGAGAATGCGACTTTTATTTTTTCCTTTTCTTTTTTTTTTTTTCCTTTTTCGCCTCAGCTCTCAAGTGACGTGACAAAGTGAAAAACTGACGCTGTATATTTAGAATTTATACGAGTTTCTGGGGAAAAAAATATGGAACATTTTGGTATTTGTAAAACGGGGTTTAAGACCAGTAGTTGTGTGACGCGTGACAGTTGGTAGGTGAATAATCATATTCCCCATCCTGACTTCCTGAGCTTCAAATCCATGTGAATCTCCCTCACATTATGCCTTCCAACTTCCAAGTTACAACCTGAGAATAAATTTCTAGATGAATTTTTAGTTTTAATCTCTTTAAATATATAATTTTTGTTTTTTATTTTTTTTGCTAATTTAATCATTAAGATATTCTTAAATATTTATTTTCAGTTAAAACACATTCTTAAAATACTTAAATTAATAATTTATTAAAATATAAAAATTAGAAATAAAACAATTAATATAAAAAAAGGAAAACAAAAAAATTACTAAAATATAAAAACTCAACATACATTTAAATTTTAAAAATAAAAGTACTTGCTAATCTTCTTTAGGTTAACAAGTGTAATTTCTCTAGTATTTTAAATTAAAAAATATTAATATTTTTTTAATTAAATTACTAATTTCACTATCTATTAATATAAAATTAATAGTTATAGTTATTTCACGTGTAAGAAAAAAAAATCAAACTCTCTCAAATATAAGAAGTATATTAGATTTTACCAAAAAATAAAATAGATTAATATTTTATTTATTTTTAATATAAATAATATTTAACTTAATAAAAATATATAATAAACTTAATAAAAAATTATATCATTTAATATTGTTAATGTCAAATTATATTAAATTTTATAATTTTTAATAAAAAATTTATATGTATAATTATTTGTTTTATACAATGTTTTAACAAGTAAAAATAAAATTGATATTGTACGATTTCTTCATATGCTTATAAGTTTTATGATACTAAAGATGATAAGGTATTATATATTTTTTTGTATTGTGATACTTTTATGAAATTGTGGTACATAGTTTTTGAATAGTTTGGTGTCAATATATGCTTACCTAAAATTTACATGAGATATTATTGAATATGTGTGTAATTCAATAAGAAAAAAATAAATTAGATGAAACTATGATGGTATAGTTTACAATGGTATGATGGACAATTTAGCTCCAAAGAAATAACATTATTTTTGAGGATGGTGTATTAAATATTAGTAAAATATTTAATTCTATTAAATATCGTTATTTGAAATGACTCGTAAGACTTTTGAAAAACTCAATTGTGTGTATGAATTGAATTAATAATCTTTTGACATATATTGTTAATTCTCTCTAAAAATATAATGGTAAGCAATTTGATTAATCCAAGTGGTAAACAATTTTATATTTTGTCTAATAAAAATTTTAATATGAGTGGTCTAATTAAAAAAGAATTTTCTTACTTCAATTTTAAGAATGAATCTAAGAATTTATTTATTTATTAATAAAAATAAATTTATTATATTAAAAATATAAATATATAATACAAATTTTTATAATAAATATTATTTTATTAAATGATAAAAAAATTATTAAATAATAAAAATTTTATTATTTTAATATTTAAATTATTTTTTGGTTCTTGTTATTAATATTATCTTTAACATACTGGTTAGAAAACTAATATTAGTTTTTATTAAACATATTAAATACACATAAAAATCATGATGAAAATTCATTAATAACATTTTTAATATTTTTAAAATGTCCTGTAAATATACAGGGAGAAAATAATATAAAGTATTGAAGAGGTTTTATATAAAGTTTATATCATTTAAAGTTATTTGTTTAATTATAAAATGAATTTGCTCATGTATTGAAAAATTACGTTATTTAAGTTTAGAGTTCGTTAATAGAAGTTGACTCGTATTACCCTTATATTTTGTTAGGTACTAATATTTCTTTGACATTACTTATTTGATATGTGTCTTTTACTGCTATATGTTTTTTTTATTTATTTAAAATTATCTCTTTTAATGATATTTTAAATAAAGTTTGATTAAATATTTATTTAATATAATAATTTATATTATATATTAAGAAAAAATATTCTTATATTAGTATAAGTGTAAAAATTTTTATACTTAATTTGAATATTTCATTTAACTTATATCTAACGAATTAGAATTTATTACTTCACTAACTGTTAAATGTAAATTGAATGAAAGAGTTAGATTGAATAAAAAAAGTTTATAAACTTACACTAAGATAAAAAAAATTTGCTCCTTGTATATTTTATCATAAGTTATTTCAAAATAAATTATAAAGTATTTATTTTATAGTTCTATTGAATTATATACTAAAATAAATTTAAAAAACATATGTTATTTTATAAACTATTTGTGAACTCTGAATATTCAAAACATCTTTTATCAATGCATTATCATCCAAGAGTTCAAAAGATTTATTCAGTCCCGTCAATCTCCTTTAGAAATTTGTTAATTTCTTTGAAATATACAGTTTACATAATATACATATATTTTTAATTTAAAAAAAACTTTTTTAAAAATTAAAAACAAACATTCTATAAAATTCTAATTGTTTATCATTTTTTTAGTGCAAATGGACAAAAAGATATGAAAAACAATTATACTTAAGAGAAACATTTTTTGTTTTTCATTAATAGTTGTAAAATATCACCTTTTTTTTTATAAAAATAGTAAAAATATTATTTTAATAATCTTATTATCTTTTCTAAGTATTTGACAATAACAAGCATAAAATATTTTTTAAAAATTTAATACTAATCATAATAATGATTTTGTAAATATTTTAGAAAGAATTTCAATTTTTTATTATTTTTAACACATATATAATACTTTTGTTTTAAAACAGTCTCATGAACTACTTTCTTAAATTTTTATCATTTAAAAAAGGCCAGTTAATATATTGATCATGACAGTATTAGTTAATTTAATTTTTTTATTTATTTTTTACAATTTTCAATCATGTATATTCCATAAAGAAGCTTGAAACAAACAATGCCTTATTATTAATGTATACAAAATCTAATGACATTTTTAATTTAACTTTATTTAAAAATGATAAAATAAATGAGTTTTTTAAAAATAAATTGATTGAAATGTCCTTTAAATTTTGTGCTAAAAAAATTAGAATTAACAAAAAAAGATACTTAATTCATTCAATAATTTTTACAATACTAAATTGAAAAATTTAAATTTGATTTGATTTTTAAAAAATAGTGCTCAAAATAAATTATTTTTTAAATTTTTTCAAAATTAGTTCGTATGAGACTTGGAAGGTTAAAAAATTGAAAAATAATTTAGGCTGAAATTGAATTTTATCGAAACAATTTCGAGACAACCTAATTAATTAAACCTATTTCAGCACAATCTCTTTATCATTTTGAAGTAATTAAACTGAACATGGATGGTATCGTCCACGTTCCACCTGTACAATTGAAACCTAATAACTTATTATTATTTTTACTTTACTGTTTATTAACAATTTTTTCTTTGTTAATTTAAACTTCTATGAAGATAAATAAATAAGAATAAAATTTAATTAAAAATATTTATTATATTTTTATAATTTTAATATAATAAATATAAATACTTTTTATGTTATTTTTAAAATTATAAAAATATGTATTTTTTTTACTAAATTATAGAAATATGAATTTTTTTAAACTGTTAGTGCGACTTTTGATAAAAAAATCATTAATTTCAAATATTTAATTTATTTTTATTTTAAAAATTTGTCATACGTGAGTTTTAGTTTTTATTTATTTTTAAATATTTTTTATTTTTATATTTACACTAAAAATTGTTAAAAGAATACTATATTTTAATATATATTATTTTTAAATATCATATAACAAATAATTCATAAATATATGTATTTATAAATATTTAAATTTAATCAAAAGGTTAACAAAAGCCTAATGATAAATAACCTCTTTGTACGGATGAGATTCCTCCACGGAGACAGTGACCTCATTCATCATGTGTCACAACTGCTTTAAATTCACGCATGCTTTCATCCCTCACACACACCCAATTTTGGTAGGGTTTCTAACCTCTTTCTTTTCTTTTTCTATTCTTACTAAACCTAGTTACATACTGCAACGCCACCTTTTCCCCAAAGAGAATCAATCATTCTGCACTCTCTATCCAATGTACAAGAGCCCAGTGATGTTAATTATTCATCTTTTTATCTAATTTCCTTCAGTTTGGGCTTTAAGATGCCCTGTCCAAGTTCCTTGTGCTACCTGCTCCTAGATCCACAGTTCAGCTACATGTCAACGAAGTTTTTTTAACAATTTTTGAAGATCTGCTCTTATGGAGATGGATGAAGAATTGGTCTGGCTTTTTTTCACAAATCTTGCTAGACTAGAAGTAATTCACAACTGTGGTTTTCTTAATGGTGACGTAACTTTATTTATTTTATATAAATATTATGATTAAAATTATTTAATAAATTTGTAATTATAATATTAATTTATATTATTAAATGTAATGAAAGTTAATTAATTTTATTTTAAACTGTGATTCCTTTGATTAATGTAATAAAATTTTATATTAAATATGATTTAATTTTGTTTTCTTTTATTATTTATGTTATCTGATGAATGACTTCGTTGAGTTGGTTATGAATGACTTGGTGTTGTGTTTTACCGCGTTTGATAACGCATGATTCATCAGTGTTTGTTTCTTGCGCGTTTAAGTTATAGCAAAATCGCTTATTTCATGACTCTACCTCGATCCTATGCATTGGTTATGACTGTGGAGAGTTGAGACATTAAGCTAACTTTGCTGGGAATGACATTGAGCTAGTTTGTAGCCAACCCGGGACTCGTAAAATTGTAAAATACTTTAAACACTTTATCGGTAAGTAAGAGAAGTTGCTCTTTTTTTTATCTTCATCACCTCTGACTATCGATCTGAAAAGTTCCATGTACTTTAGATTCTTATTCCTTTTTCGAACTATAACATGCAAAACAGTTGAAGGTCTATAGAACAATTTCACTATTCAGCAACAAATTTGACGTCTGGCAAAAGTCTTTTCAGAAGGTCGTATCAAAATGATGAACCTGCCATGTCAATTCGGGATTGTAACAAAATGCTTTTGTCCAATTTTCAAATACAATACTCTTATAAGTCTTACATGCTTTCTCATATGGTGAGTTTGACATGTCTTCGATGCAAAGAGAGAGAACTTGAAATTCTTCGCTTGTAATATTTGCTTCCACTGAAGGTTGGTTTGGAAACCACTCTATCCTTGTATGAATTACAGTGCTGTTAATAATATACTTATATTTTCTAAACACGTTATTGATTAAAATATTAAAAAATAAAAACGATTAATAAAACATTATTTTATAAGCTTCAACAAATATCAGTGAATAAAAAAGAAATTGTTAATTAAAAGGGTATATTGTATATAATAGTAGTATTTTCATGTTACAGTCAAATGCTAACACACACACACACACACAATGACACAATGAAATCCTATTCTACCCAAAAAAGGCCTAAGTTAGGAAGATGGTTTAAAATTTTGGAATTTCTTATTTATTTATTTTCATTAATTTGATCATTTGAAAATTAATATCTTTGATATGTAGTGGTTAATATAACATTTTATTTATTTTATTAAATAAATGTACTTTCTATTATATAAAAAGATAAACAAAAATTTTGGTTAAAAATATTGTACATGAGAAAATTGTTATATAATTTTTAATGAAAATATCCAAAGTTATAATGGGTCAAACAATTTTTGGTAAAGTATCTCAAGTAATAAAGGCTTCTAAGAATATGATGGATTTATGTCAAAATTCTCATTGCATTGAGAGGAATTATGAGCATTTGCATATTAAGACACATGAAAGATCATGAATAACATACAAGAGTGGTTATAAGAATGTGTTTTAGGCTAGAGATTATATGTGTTTTAGGCCAGAGATTATATCTATAACTAATTTTTTATTTCATTATATAGGAGTTACAACTTTACGCAAACACAATCACTCACACTCACTACAAATATATGTCACACTCATTAAAAATATATGAAGCGCCAAAGTTTTAAGCACTAATTAAACATGACTACTAAAAAATTAATAGTTCAATGTTATTTGTATTTAAAAGTTGTATGTTCAAGTAAGTTTGTATTTTATATTTTACATTCAATCAATGTTTCTTTTAAACATTTACAATTTTTCTTTATATTTATTTGTATTTTTTTTACTGCCTTTTGTTTTATTTTATGCCCTTTCTTGCAATATTAATTGATGCATTTAATAAAAAAAAAATACACCATAAAAACCACAAAATGAATCTAAAATTTAATTTTAGAATACTTTTGAATTTATTTATTTACTTTATTTACCGTAACAATAAGATTATAAAAGACAGTTGTAAAGTTCTTATAAATTTACTATGGGAAAGTAATTTATAATTTTCATAACCCTATTTTAAAATTTATATTAATAAGTTTTGCCAAACTTTAAAATTTAAATTTATAGTAGGGTCTTTATTTAAAATTCACAAGTAATTTGCGCGCTAAACAATTCTGGTCAGAACATCTCCAGTTAGCACAGTGAGGTTATGGTATTTTCAACTCGATTTTATTCATACACCAACGCTTGATAAATAAAGTAGTGTTTAACAACGAATTTGTCATCATATATTTTTTGTTATACGGCTTAAAAAAATAAAAAAAAATATTTATCTTAATTATTTTAAACTCATTAAAATTTTCAGAATTTCAAAATATTACTATTAATTCTAGCTTTTATTTTGTATCTTATTGATGGATCTTAGCGGATAACGAAACACTTGAACAATTCATTTCGCTGGCTGTGCGTTGTGCGTAGTTGAATTGATGTCTTCTTCGATTTCAATTCCGATTCGAATTCCAATTGCAATTGCAATGGATTCAGCGTTGGCTGCGACTGTCACGCAGATGGCGTTTTTCAAACCACTGAACCACCGCCATTTGGCCACACGCAGATGGCGCTTTTCCAATCTCCACCGCCTCCACTGTGTTATGCCTGTGCGGTGTTCCTCCGTCGGCGGCAACAGTGTTGACGACGATGTTATTGTTCTCCACGTTGGGGTTTGACCTCCTCCTCTATTTTCATTTTCCATTTCTATTTTAAAACGGAATAAAAATTTGAAAATCACTTCTCTCTCTCGTGTTAGGGAATGATGTGCGACGGATGTGCAGATAACGTCAGAAGAACTTTAGAAAGCCGAGTAAGTAACAGTAGTACAGTGTGTTTAGTTTCCAACGATAATGTTTGTGGATTTATCTTTGCTTTAATACTGGTCGTAGCTTTTGCTTTTGATTCACATTTAAAGGTATTTAATGTGTTTTCAAACACACACATAATTCTTAAATAAAATATTAAATGTGAGTGAACTAGTGTTCCAGTTCTATAGAAATAAGGAATATAAACAAGGTGTGTTAGGTGTGATATTTAATTTATTTATACAATTTATTCATGATCTATTGATAGAGATTACTATTAATAAATGTGTTAGGATAATCTAAATCTATGTTGTTTTCTGATTATATCAATGATTAATGGATTGGGAAGCCACAAGTGTCATCTGCCAAAGTAAATCTAAGATCCGAGACAGCAATAGTTTCGGCTGTGCCTGAAGAAAAAACTGCACCAAATTGGCAACAGCAATTAGGGGAGACACTTGCACAGCATTTAACTACCTGTGGCTTCACTTCTACCATTCCAGGTATGGTTTCATAAAGGTGTTCATCTGAGTTTGACCAATGATGCAAATACCTTCTGTATGTGTTTTTATGCAATATAGAGAAGAAAGGGTAAAGTGTTGCTTGACTTTAAAGAGATCACAAGGCATGTCATTAACTCATAAGTACACTTGTTGGAGCAGTTTGATTTTATAACTCAATGTTTTAAAGCTCAGCTTTTCATTACTAGAAGAATTAACTGATTACTCGATTGATGCTCATAGTTATTTATACCTTCGAATTGTTAAATACATGCACTTTAAAAAATAAAAGTCTGCTTCTTGTTCGGTTAACAATCATTATGCATGTTCAATACCATAATTTGATTTTCATGACCCTAGGTGGGACAAATCAAGAAGATCGCTGAAGGAGTTATTATTTCACCATATAAATGCAAATGAGGGTTTAGAGTCCATGGTATGTCTTTAAAGGATTAAATTGTTTTCAAATCTTGTATCCTCCATTCTCAGATATATAAGAGAGGTATAAAATAATTATTGATGTTATAATTTCTCCCTTCTCTTCATTAGGTGAGTTTCAGCCACATATGGTGATTATTGGACTATTGGAGAGTCATGTCTGTGCTCTGATGGCTAGGCATGTTGTAGAATTTGCTTATATTCACTAAAATTAACAAACCCGTAGTCATGCGGAAGTGGTTGGGTTTTGTGTGTATGATACCTACGACATTTTCTGGGGGATTTCCGTTTTCCATGACAAATGGTTTCCTCAAGAGGTTGACAATAAACAAGTCAATGTAAGAATTTCATAGCATACTTGAGAGTTGAAACTATAGTATCAGAGCTGTGGATGAATGATAGATGGATCAATCATTTTCGCGGTCTCCTCCATTCTCTTGTACCGAAACCCAATTTGTATTTGCCTGTATCCTTTGATTGGCTGGCTCATTAAGTTAGGAGGAGGATTTGAACAGAGCCTTACTATTCTAAACCAATACTGTTATATAGAGATAATTATTTTTGAAATTTGATAAAAGATAATCACAGTTTATAACAAATGTTAAATTATAAGTTTTATACTTGTTTTTCATTTTGATCCAATCTGATATTAAAATATTATATTTTGGTTCTTGAAAAATTTACAAGTTGATCTTATTGAAGTTATAATGATATGTCAAGTGCAGGTATTCAAATGCGAAGTTTTTAAAAATACAGATGGAGGGACTAACATAAAGTATTTTTTTATGTATGAATGAAAAGAAAAAAAAAACCAGTGTCAAATGGGAAAAAAATAAAATTAAACCTATAATAAATGACTATTTTATGAACTACGGTTATTTTATTTATAAATAATAATATCAATTTGAGGAACATAAATACAATTTAAGATGTAGTGGTGAGTCAGGTGACTCTAATATAAAAGCGTCACTTAGTTGCAAAAGCAAAATTAATTTTCAGGGTGTTAAGATTTTTTTAACTTATGTAATGTTGCACAAGATAATAAGTTGTATATAATACATTTTTATTAAAAATTACAGAATTCAATGCAATTTAATGCATTAACAATATTAAATGCTATAATTTGTATAAAAGTTTATTATATATAAATTTTTGTCCTATGCAATATTACATAAGTTAAGAAAAAATATACAACAAAAGTATTTTATATTTTTACTTTTAAACTTCGTAACAATATCAAGTGATGAGTGATGACATTAACGTTTGCCCAGTGTTTTATTTCGCAATATTTTAATGATAACAAATTTATTGAAGGTATTCTAGTCGAAAAGACAAACAGTACGGGTTGATAGCATATGGAACAAACAGAATTTCCCGCGTCAGGGGAAGCCTCAGACTGGCCAAGAAGGGTTTTGATTCCAACTAGTGAAGTAGAGCCTGTTTGGATGACCGTAAGCAGAACTAGACATGAGATACAAAAAGATCTACCAGTTGAAACTAATTAATGCATGCGTTACCAAGCGCATCCAGGGGAAGCAAGTATTTTCGATTTTGAAAAACGCAATTAAGAGTTAATAGAGTCGTGGTAGATTGGAGACCGTAAAGGACAAGTAAGAAATGCAGTCAAAGTATTTAAATAATAATAAAAAAAGTGAACTAGACCAATAAATTATTTTATAATTATTAATAATAAATTTAATATATTATTAGACAATCAGATTTTATATTTTTATATATTTATGTTTTAGGACATTATAAGAATTCAATTGCAAATTATAAACATTGAATTAGTTTTATTTTAGTAAGACAATCTCAAGCTTTTTTCTTTTTTTTAATCAATTTACCAATTTTTCTTGTGCTCCATAGTCACTGATCTACTCCCCCGTCCAATCCTCGTTACCTCAACTACCAGTTACATAAACACAAAATAGTTTCTTCATCCTCCTTAGCATCTTTCGTGCTTCCTACTTATTCAATTTACCCTCTCCTACCCCCAGTGTGCCTCACTCTTGCTGCTTCATCTTCATTGCTCACACTACCGTCATGATGTCATTTCTAAATTCTCCATGAAAATTGGATGTCGCTTCAAAATCATGGTAACTTGTGGAGCCAACTTCATTGGGAGCCACTTGGTGAAAAAACTCATTGCAAGAGGAAATAACATAATTGTTGTTGATAATTTCATTGGACTTCAGATAAGGTTGTTGGTGGTAATGCTATGGTAATTGATAGAGCCATTTTGTTAAGTTGAAATGTCAAATTTGGGTCATTTGCTACAAAAAAAATTACAAAAATGCGACAGTGAGTTTGGTATCAATGAGTGATAGCTTGTTCTAATTTATGGTTTGCAATGCATGGCAAAATTGGGAAAGGTGAGGGGTATTGGGCTTGCAATGGTGGAAAAGAGTTGTGATGTTATGAGAGAACCGTGGTGCAACTTTGGTGTAGCGAGAAGGATAGCGACAACATGCAGAGAAACATTTACTTTCAATATTTTAAGGATTAATGAGTAAATATGATATCATTTGAGTCCAATTAAGAAAATGTCTAATGAGACTTGGAAGGACTTGGATCGTCCAGAGTCATTTTTCCTGCATTCATTACTGTATTCATCCCAGCTCATATTTTTTTTTCTTATATTAAATTAATTTTGTTAAATTTTAAAAATAAAATGGAGGATAGAGATTGATGACTGTATGGAAAGTTGACTGAAGGGGATCCATACACGAGTTGGGAAGGTAGACAACAATTTAAAGCGATAGAAGAATAAGATGAAGGGCAATCAAATGACTCTGTACAATACCCGGTGTCCATGGTTCTTACATTTAAGTGGAATTTGATACATGCACAATTGTGTATAGATGATAACTATGTTTGTTATCAGCCTTTTCCAATTCCAAGTATGCAGATGGTGTGAACCCACAACCATAACGAACATCAGGACAAATTCTGGAATGGAAATATATGAAACAACTGGGAGATCCAAACGACTAGAAAGGATCAAGCGAACATTTCAAACTGTGTATTCCAAAGTAAAACCTTTCCAGATTCCCATTCACTGCTATTAAACAGTAACTTCTCAGTAAATTGCCATTTGTTTTATTTGGCAGCAAAATTGATTTTCAAACCATGTAAGTCATGCTAACTTGCATCAGATGCGAGTGGGGTACACTTAAAGTCGTGATCCCCCTCCTGCAGTTCTTTCTCAAGAAGGCATAAAAGTAATTTATAACTAACTTCTTGATAAACCATGAGTCTTTCCTTGCCCTTATATCCCCATGACCCAGAAGATAAACAACTCCGGATTCTTTAGCCTTGTGAATAAAAGATAATTCCCTCTCAAGGCTCTGCTCAGCATCAAACACTGGGTGGTTAGGGGATACTGAGCTTACCTCTGATGTGCTTGCTTCTAAAATGGGGTTGCTTGTATTCTTAAAATCAGCGAGAAGAGGAACACCAAGTGAGTAAACACTGCCATTGGGAGCAATTAGAACCCTAGAACTAGGGTACTCATCTTCTGAATCAGAATCTTCATCCCCATCACTCTCCAGTGATCTCTCCTGAGCTTCACGACGTATAAATTTCTCTAGGCTCTCAATCAGCAGCTGCTCAAAAGTCTGGTGATTTTCTTTCCGAACATCTTTGTAACCATATCTGTTGACAAAAAAATACGATAAAATGTCATTTTTATTGCGAGGAAAAATACATTATTGCACTAAATTATCCCCTTAATGAGATGCTCAGTTGGTCACACGAGGCTATTGCAATGGCACATGTTTCTGAAAGTCATATACAGGACCTCGCTTTCACAATCCATTCAACTTTTTCTTAAACCATTTAACATGGATGTAAAAGTTCACATCTCCACTTATCTAAAGACTACATGCATCTCAAATATGAAAAAATGAGCTAGTTACCTGGCAATACAACGAAATATATGATAACTTTTTGGGCAGACTCGCCGAAAAAGGAACCTTTCACTTTGAGGCACCATAGGAACTGGAACATACTTGATGCTCACAAATATGATCATGGAGTGTATCGCTGGAAGTGTGGTCAGAAAATGACCAAAAATTGCTGGTATTCCTTTGACCAACTCATTATAAAGTAAACCAATTCCAGGAGCTCGTATTGTCCCAAGATTAGAACCTAATTCTAGCATCAAATCTGTTGACAGCTTTTGCTTGACTTCAGTCTCATATTTGAGATTGCTTCCATAATTCCATACATACATTATAAGAAACATTATTATGGCAAAGATCAATATTATCCAACTTCCATCTGTCACACTCCACAAAACAGATGAAAAGAAAGTCAACTCCAATCCCAAGAAGATAACCAAGAAACTCAAAACTATGATGATGTTTATCTGCCATATAAGAAGCATAACAAGGGTCACTAAAATAGTAGTCATCATCATCACCCCAAGCTCAGCAATGCCTGAAAGGGGATAAAGGAATAAGCTGAATACAAATATATTATAATAATATACAATATAATAATGAACAAAGTTCAGTGCCTTAAAGCTAAAGAAAGCTAAACTATTCAGTCTCCATCCCCTATCTAGCTCGCCAAATCAACTTATTATCTGTCAGGATCGATTCATTTCATAAACTGAAACTTGAAGATAAATGACTTCCCTCAAATTCAACAGAAATGTTTGATCAAATCCATTTGTAATAAAATGATAACCGCTACCTCTTGATGATGGAAATATACATACACAAAATGGCATTGTTCCAAGCTTACAGTCACCATTTAAAGAGCAGTGCAATGATGGGGTTTAGGGTCTAAGTGTGCATGGGTTCTTCTAAGCAAATTGAGTCTTCTTACACAAGGCCACATCTGTATTTTTATAATTATTTCTCAAGTATAGTTAAGGACATGCAAAGGAAATACTAGGGGGAGGAGTATAATGCCTTTCCACATAATTACAGGGATATAAACTTCTGACAGAAAGTCAGAAACTATTCTATTGTGATAACTGATCACAATAAAAATGAGAAATTAACACTATTACCGTTACAATTTGACAAAGCTATGTAAATGTGGTCGATAAATTTTACAAATTATCGGCGGAAATAAAATAAAGAAATAGAAATAATCATTACCATAGGCATTGCCAATCTCATCAATGCTGGATATAGAGCAGACAAGCACCAGAGAAACAGCCAAGAGGAACCAGTTTAAGACAGGGATATAGATCTGGCCCATAAATTTCCGAGAGGTATGAATAATTTTAAGACGAGGGAAACAACCAAGTGCAGTTGATTGCTTTATACATGAAAATGTTGCTGTTGTCATGGCCCTACTTGCAATCAGTGCAGCAATGTTAGCAATAAGGAAGGTTGGCCAGAATGCACCACCTGCAGACAGAGAATATTATTGCATTCCTGCAATTTGCAAAGCCAACCACTGTAAAAAATGATATTATCAACACTTACTTGGAACAGAAGAAAAAAACGCCTGACCAGCATCAGCATGGTTTTCCATAAGGTATGCTGCTTGACCCAAATAACCCAATAGTAGGCAAGGCAAAACAAGGAAGACAAATGAAAGCTGCAAATTAGCACCATCAGTTTCACCAACACGAGTTCACAAGAAAACAAAGGAAATGAAAAGAAATAAAAGAAGCATGACAGCCAAATAAAAATGACAAATACATACTTTATTACCTGAACTGATCGTACACTAAAGTAGCAAAGATCTGCAAACATGGCCTCAGAACCTGCAGCATGGTACAGTCAGTGTTTATGTCAAACAATAGTTGAATAGGTTGGGTACAGGCCTGATATTGTTACATTTATATTGAAATTTCACCACATTAAATATCAAGTTAATGTGGGCTGGTAGGGATTACAGAGAGATAGAATAAGCATTAATTGAATTCCATTTATCAACGAACCTCAAAATTCTGACAATTCCACCTCAGATAGTGACAAACACTAAATGAAAATTAAGACATTGACCATCATAGTTGCTAGCAATGCATGTCTTTTTAAAACAAATAAAAAACAGATTCACTACTAGAACCAATTTTACATAAATGATAAAAAAAAAAGGTATAGTACTATTGCATTCCCAGTATCAAATTATTGCATGTGTTTACCAGTTGCACACAGAAGACAACCCCCAAGAGAATACCATGCTTTAGTTGAGTTCCTCTTGAAGAAATAGTAGATGTGAATCGGATTAAATGCCCTCAAGACACTACTGTCATATTTGACAAGATTGTAGATCCCAATGCCCGCAAGAGAACAAAACCATATGAACAAAGCAGGTCCAACTGCAAGTCCCACCTTGCTTGTTCCATACTTCTGTACACTGAACAAAATGATAAGGCAGGCAACCGAAATCATCACTACTTCATCTGCATAGTTGAATATGAAGAAAAGATTAAAGTAACTATTGAAATGATTACAACATAAGGGTATAAATCAGCTTAATAAATAATAATATGCCCACCTCCCTACCCCTTTCAGAAACAAAACCCACAAAAACAATGCTATTTATTTTCTCAGACCAAATCAACAGATTGAAGCAGTGATTTAGCCAAAGAAGAAAGAAAAGATAAGGGTCTAAAATGAAATTCTTTGGATGTATCTGTGGATGTCAACATCAAATCTAGGTATTAATAACTATAAAAAAAATAGAGTTCATTAACAGGTTACACACAATACCTTGCTTGATTGCATCTACTCCAATTTTTAAACCACCAACAGATGACAGTACTGCAGCAAGGCATAGATAGAAAGAGAATTATTATAAAGCACTAACCAGTATAAATAATTAATGAAAACAACAGTTGGCCATGAACACAAGCATCAGCATATCATCATACCAATACAGGTATGGCATTAGTATCATCCTGAACAGATTGTGACAAAAGCAAATCTGAAGAAATTATAAAAATACATGAAGTAACAGCAGTAAATAACCTGACATTGCTGGTGTAACAACACCATTAGCAATCACCATAGAAGTACCAGCAAGCACTAATATGAGTAGAGTCTTCTTCAGCGTCAGAGAACTCTCAAGCCTTTCCTTAATTTTTAGTGACCTTTCAAGCTCAGGGGATGGCACCTTCAGCCTAAAGCTTGATATACGGGCATCTGATGGTAACTGATTCGGGAGAAGACTCACCTTTGCATGACGACAGATCAATGAGTACAAGGCAAAAGTACCACCTGCAGTGGTTTGATGACATAACTTTCAGAACATATGATTAACAGAGAAAGAAACGCAACAAATACTGAAGTTTTATTATAGAATATTTAATTTAACATACCTTCACCATCATCATTGGCCCACAGAACCACAAGGACATACTTCACTAAGGGAATCAAGATTAAAGTGTACAAGACAAGTGATAATGCTCCAAGAATATCTTCATTTCCATTAATAGGGGCCTTTCTAAACATAACGCTGAAGGTATATAGTGGACTGGTTCCAACATCCCCGAAGACCACACCAAGTGTCTGAAAAGCCAATACAATTTTCTTTCCCACACTGATATCCTGCAATAAAATATAATGAAGACAACAAGCAACATCCATTAATACACAGACGTTGATGTTCCAGTACCGTTTATAGCTATATAATCTCATGACGTATAGTAAGTAGTTTTTAACGGGTGGACCACAAGCACTACATCCGAAAATCACAGACTTAAAATTCATAGAATCCAGAAACTCAACAAAAGCAACAACACTCGAAAGCAATAGAAAAAAAAAAGTGTCTCTAAAGTGTCATGAAATAACCTGTACTGTAAAATGCATGAGAAATTAGTTGTATCGGGATTATACTATTACAGTTTAGAGCATCAAGCAGCTAGTTCGCTTAATTTTCATTGATCATAGAATCATCAACCATGTTAAACTTCGTGTCTATTTTTCTTCTTAATTTCCATTCATGCACCAGCTCATAACACAAAAATTAACAATCATAGTTCGTAAGTCCCATACACACACATGCACGGACATACACACACACAGAGAGAGAAAGAAAAACTATTCGGTTAACTCAACGTGTTTCCATCTGAACAGAAATTTCAGCAAAACCAGACAATTGAGAATTAACCTGACAAGAAAGTAATCGGAAGGCGAGATTACTATGGATTAATAGAACAGAGAAAGGAATGAAAACCTCATAGTCACTTCTATGAGCGCCGGGGACTTCAAGAGCCTCGACGTCGAAGGAATCGATTCGAGGACCAGTGCGAATGAGTCTCTGTTCGGCATTATCGTCGTCGTCGGAATCAAGCGTACTAGCGTGGCGTCTCAATCTCAAATCGGCGTCGTAGTTCTCCAAATCGGACGCATCCTCGTCGTCCTCTTGGATAACCCAACGCGATTCGGTGGAGTCCATGGAGAAACCGCCATTGATCTCACCTCTCTCCTCAGCCATAGGAATCAGGTAGATGCGGAAAAACTTTGTTAGGGTTTGGCACAGAAAATAGAGTGAATTTGAGGAAGTGGATTTGCTTTAGCCATAGACAGAGAGAGTATGAATGGGCGGTGCTTGCAATTGCATAGCATTCCAAAAGAAAGAAGGAAGTTGGGCGATCACGCGTGAGCGCGAGTGAGTGAGTGATACTAATGCAATGCAAAACGCCATCTCTACTTAGTGTGGGCCAACAGTGGCACCAATATTCTTATTTTTCTTTTCTTTCTGATTCACCTATTTACAAAATTTATTTTAAATATATTCACCTAATAATATGATGATTTTTTGTTGGGTCCTCACGAACCCATATCACACACAATTCGCCGTAAAATTAGGCCAAGCTTGCACACACAGTCTCATTGCTAGGTCGTATTCTTTGAAATGCTTTAAGACAGCATCAGCCGGAAAAATTGGTGCCTTTTAACGTGAGTATGGGACAGTGCCATATTTTTAGATAGGATAAAAATTACCCTTAAATATGTTTCTTTACCTCAAATTTTGATAATTTTTTATTTTAGTCTTTTTAAATGAATTTTTTTCTATTTTTTCAAAAACTAAAAGTTGACACTGCAGAGTATTTTAATGAATTAGATCATCAGCGACTAAAATTAAAAATTTATGAAAAAGTAGAAATTAAAATAACAAAAAATTCGTTTAAATTTAAAAGTTTAGTGAAATGTTGTTATTTTGGTAATCTCTCATAAGTTTAACCGTGTAAATTATTAAGATAAAGTTTAATTTTAATTTAAAAATTGTATAAAGACATTTAAAGATATAAATTTTTTAAATATTGGCAAGGAACAACTTATATTTTAGCAAATTTGAGGCATTTTTTCAAGTTATGGTTGAATAGATAAAAATAGATGGAATGATAACTTGTTTTGATATATTTAAATAGGATAGAATGAAAAAAAGAAGAAGTTGAAATACATTTTATTCTAGTCAATGTCTCTCTTTCTCTTCTTTTTCAATTTGGAGGTATAAGATGTTTGTACTTATTTCGTCATAAAATATTCAAACTAAAGAATAGAAATGACTAATGTTTATATTCGAGCGACCAACATAAAAGTAAATTTTATTCCCTATAAGATAGTCTTAAATACTTATGGGAAATGCCTTCAACTCTCTTTTGGAGTCCTTTTTCAGAATGGGCTAAATGGTCTAACATTTTAGACCAAGGAGGCAAAATTATTTTTACATGATGATTATACGTAGCTCAACAGTAATAATTGATAAGACTAAGAATTTTTTTTAACTTCCATTTACATCGGTGGAATAGTAAATAACATCGTAGTTTTCTAATAGTCACGTCTATATTGCCACTCTATTGTAACTTATTATCTTTTACGAATTTTATCTAAAGTACGGTTTTTTTTTTCGTGTTTGTCAAGGTATTTATTAATCAACAATTAAAAAAAAAACTAATCTTTGTTGAAGCGTAAAGATTTATGAAATATTTTTTTCTAATTTTCTCAATAAAATCTTTTTTCGCACACATAGCAAGAATCAAACTATAGTTAAATTATTTAAAAGACATATCTGTATAATTTTTACCAATTTTGCTTTACTTCTTTGAACTCTAAATTATTAATTTGATGGATAAAGAATAGTTAGAGTTTTTAACATAAATAAGTTGAATAAGAGCTTTACATTGAGTTGAATAGGAAATTCATTTTCACATGGACTGAAGTTGAATAAGTTGTATACGATTGACTTGTATTGGCAGATACTAGTTCATTCACCTCAATTCTACTCCACTCACCATTCTTAATGATCTAAACTACGATTTTCCATTGGAGATTAACATGTTTTATAATGACTTGTGATTTGTTCTTAAAATATTTATAATTTTGTTCAGTAATATATGAATTTTCATGTTATTGTCAACACATTCAAATTTAACCACGGTCCATTTGACTGTAATTTTTTAATTATAAACATATTCAATGAAGATTACCAGCAACAGAGAAAATGACAATTAACAGAATAAAAAAAACGTAGGATACATTAACATTACAGAACAACATCTTGTAATGTAAAAATAACATCTTCCACGAAAAACGAATGACTAGCACTCACAGCAACTTATTGGCACGGTGCCAATATGACGCCAAAAAAGAAATATCGAATCGCCGCCCGCAGCAAAGTAATTTGCAATTTGATGGCAAAACTGCATATGGCTCAGAAGTGATAAGAGTAAACATTTCATTGCTCCTGACTTCAAGTGATCGTTATAGGTGATTTTTACTCGAAAAGTTCAAGCTACTACATAACAGCAACCTTAAAGAGATAAAAGCATAACAACTGCTAGCAGTAGCACCAAGGTAAGAAGAATGTCCCTCATTAAAGTGTGTGCAAAAAGATAAATTGTGCCTCTACTGTACATATGCCACTGATAGACAATGATTGTGGATATGCTATAAACAGTCTATACTCCCCTGAAACAAGTCCCTCAACTCACATTGGATGCAACCTCATTAACTTCTTCATATGTGTTGGTCTCTTCATTAAATGAGTACCTGTTTTTAAACAAAAAGAAACATTCCCAATCAGCTAGAAATATAATTTGCAATGTGACCAACACTCAATTGGCTGCTCTACAGAAAGCAGCTAGTGTGAACTATATGGCTACTATTGCAAGGTCCATCTGCATTCGCATCCCCCAAAAATTGTAAATAGGCTAAATAATAGATGGACAGTTAAACCCTAACCCTTTTCTTTTCTTAGGTTCTTTTGTTACTTGAATAATATAACTGTACCAAACACCAAGCATACATTTTTGCCCAAGATGAAGATCAAAGTACATGTATGATGTCTCTTGATATAGTTTCCAACAAGAAATATCTATCGAGCAAGAATAAAATTTAAACAAAAGCGAAAAGAAGACATATATCCAGAGCCATGTTGTTACGGACATATGCAAATAAAGTGAGGCTAAAAATATCAGATGAAAACTGACACCACACACACTAAGATGAATAATGAATGCAAAATACCATTGCCCTGATGCAGCAGAGCAATACAGCCCTGTCTTTGGATCATAATAATAGCCCAAACTGCTGCTGTAATAGTACCTGGACCATCAATTAAATTGTCAGAACAAACTTATAAAAGAATTTTCTGATAAAGGAATTTGCTGAGAGAAAAATGGGTACACATATCAACATGCTATACTGAACAGATTTTTATGATATTAAAATATAAGTAACTAATATAGTATTTGTCAAATTATTTCCCAAAATGTAGATGGAAGAGAAGAGTCATACCCAGAAGATTCGTCATACACACAATCGTTTTGCAATGCTCCACCTGAATGAAAAGTAGAAGTGCAGAACCATGTTAAGTAAAAAACACTTATCAGACAAAAATCAGTAACAAAATTTATAGAGGCAATGTATTTTACCCTCAGGCCCAGAGTTTATAGCATTTGATGATGATTGACTAACAGCATTATTTTCATCCGTAGATGGATTAGTGGTATCATGCTCGTCATCATCAGCAAACATATCATAATCATCTGCACCAGTGCCAGAGACTTCTGCACTACCCAAATGTTGATTTGACGTGCCAATGTCTGTTGTAAGGAATCTTGTAGAGGCCACACCAGAATCCAGGCCATCAGAGAGCAAGTTTCCCTCTCCATTCAGAAAAGAATTCCCTTCACCTGAGTGCAGAGATGTGCCTTCTTTTACTCGGGCTAACTTCTCATATCCGTCTGAAAAAAGGAGATTATAGAAAGCATAAGCATAGGCAAATTGGTGCTTCTATAAAACAGGTACCTGTCATTGCTCCTCATAAATCTACATATCAGTGTCATCATTAAAGGAAGAGAGAAGAACCAAGGAAAAATGTTGAGATTAAATACTATCAAGGACCATGATAGGGCCCTTAATGTAGAAAATGATCAGGTGCCAAGTCAGCAGAGTGAGAGACCTAGGATTTGGAGGGCATTTTCCATAAAAAATGGGACAGAAGGCAAGTTAGTTAGCAGTGGATGAGGTTGTATTTGGATTAGTGGGTGGGGAATACTCATGTGAACAAGTAGTTATGTAGGGAAGGAGTGTGCAGGAGAGTGTGGTTTTTCTTTCAATTTTTGTTGTGTGAGACAGAGGACTATCTTCCTCTGAGGAGCGGCTTTGGGAACTTGTGAATATCCCATTTGTATTGAATAATATATTGAGTATTCCATTATTTTTGTTTGGGTCTTATTTCCTTGGTACTTTTCTGTTTTGAGACCATATTTTTCGTTTGGGTTTCTTAACAGACTAACTGCCCCAAAATCTAAAGCTTAATATGGAGGTCTGCAAAGTAGTTTTCCCTAATGCTAGGAACTGACAAACACTGTGATAACAGATCAGCACATTCTATCTGGCATCATGACCATAATAAAAACATAAATTGAACAGAATTATATTGGTGAAAAACATAGCTGATCAATAATTAAACCCAATAAGGTTAGGAAATCAAACAGCATATTCCAAAATGTTGTTAATAATGTAAATCTGACAAAACATAAACAATAGGTGTGAACCCAACTATAGAACATAATGGAAATAGAATAAGGCATTAAGTATAAGACTGACCTGCTTCACGATCAAAAACCTCTCGCTTTTCATGATAAACATCTGAAAAAAACGTAAAGGAACCAAAGTTAAGCATTGTGTAGAAAAACACAAACCTTTAAAAAACAAAGTAAGACAGGTTGCACAACATAAATTGTCCCATAAGGCTATCAAAACCAGTACATATTTGAAACATGCCTAATAGGCTAATATTTACAAAGCCTAATGTGAATAACTTAACTGTATTCACCATTCTCCATCAGCTTCATAGCATCCTCAGTTAGCTGGTCAAATACAATCTTAGTCTCAGCAGACATTTTTGCCTTTCTGTCACTGTTACCTTTTAACCTTCGCAAGGCTTGTAAGACCTATTGGAAGAAGTATCAGTTAATAAAGCCCACCAAAAAAACCGCAAATGCCTCTTAACAAAGTAAATATATTATGTAAAAAATATCCTACTCAAGCTTAATGATCTAAAATTACAAGACATAAAGAGAACAAGTATTTGAACATGATATAAAATTAATAATGTCAGTTAGTTACAAGCCAAATATAACATTCTGCAACATTAAATTTGTTTTTAAATTTTAGCTTTTTATCTTTAAGAACACCAATGACCCTTTATTTTAGAAATTTGGGAATTATCTGGTTTTCATCTGCTAACAATGAGAGAGAGAGAGAGAGAGAGAGAGAGAGGTTACAAGTCAAATTGCATTACTAACCACAGAGTTAGCAACATATTCAAACTTTTCTAATTTTCTGTATTTCCTTGTTCCAACTTTAAAATCACTACGTCAAAATTGTACATTCTTTGTAGAGTAAGAGTATAAACTTTTCAAATACTATATATTTTAAGGTTACAAACTTCCTCAATAAGAAATTTCACAACTCCATGGCCACAATTAAAATCAATGTTTGGCCACATAAATTGATGATCTACTCTGGAGTGAGATGGCAAATAAATATTTTGCATTTCCAGAAAATTAAGGATGATAAAACATATGCTTACCGTTTCTCCTGGTTCAAGAACATTCGCAATGCGCCTCTTCATGATTCCAATATCTTTAGAAGAAAGGTCTTGGACCTCGTCTTCATCATTTGTTGGTACAGTGCTTAATGCAGCATATTTTGGATCAACTTCAACATTATCAAGCCATGCATCCTACAAAAGTCCTTAATATTTTATTAATAGAATCCAAATTAAATAGTCACAAATCACAAATGAAAAAGAATACAAATGCCTCACCTTAATCTCATTATCTCTAACATATTCAACAAAATTTCCTGCTGCATCAAAATAACCTTCCTCCCTTTCTTTATCTAGGTTGAAAGGCTCAATTTGAATCCCTTCATCAACAAAATTCTCATTATCCTGTCAAAAGATTTCACCTATCACTGCCTGCCTATCCGTTATGCAGACCCAATAACAATTCATTGTGTCAAACATTTACTATAAAAATTTCAACCAATTTAGGAACGAGTCCCACTACAAATTTACATATGAACAACAACCTGCACAAAAAAAACTTTAAAAGCATGTAATTTATGCTACTATTATTACAATCCACCAAAAGACATTTCAGAGAATGAATAAAGACCTTTAGGATAAAAAGTTCATCCTGAGTCAACAAGTTGAGGCAAAACTTAAAAACAAACCTCGTATGCCACTTCAGCTGCTGATAAGTTATTTAAGATACCTCCAGCGTCCTCACTAAAGAGTTCAGCAGTAAATTTATTTCTGTGTTTCGCTCTCTCTTTGGCAGCAACTTGGGGATTCATCAAATCAATTGGGCCTTCCTCTGCAACATTTCCTTTGTCCACTGCTTCATCTCCAGGCTTCACTTTCTTACCCTTTGGAAACCTTACCCTTTTTGCTCTGTATAAATTTCACAAGGGAACATATACACGAGATCTTACATGAATTAAAAGTGAGCGTAATAGAAAACACAAAACTTACTACATGGTAAATCATAATGGGTTTAAGGTAAGCTCTCTTTGAAGAATGCCAAATTTTGAGGCAAAAAAATTGAACTTTAACGGGTGTTGGAGTTGACCCACAAGCTAATAAATAATAATCCCGGAATCAAAAGAAAACAACAGCCAATACATAATGAATTAGGTCCGAAAATCAATTCTAAGGATCACTCAAATTTTCCAATAGAAATGAATCGTATAGGGTTTGTGAGTGAGCAAGAGTGGGAAGAGAAATTACGGTGGATTTTTGCTGAAATCGTCGTCTTCTTCCACAAAGGGCCGTTTACCGCTACTGCGAGATGATTCTCCCGCCATTGACGCTGCCGAAGAAGAGTTCAGCACTTTCAGCTTCTCCCCAGAGAAACACAGAAGTTTCCCTTTCAATATTTTCTTGTCTTTACTTTCGTATAATTAACTAATTTAAAATCGAATTTAGATAATTCAGTTTGATTGGTATTACCTATGATGTATTTTGCAATAAATTTTCTAAATGATTTAGAAAACAATAACTTTTAATTCAGTTTAATTTCTTACATGGGCAACAAAAAATAAAATTAAAAAAATTACAAATTTTTTATATAATAGAAAACGGAGTAAATCCGTTTGTGATAATTATGGGTGGATGGGTTTAAGACTTAACTATGGACATCAATGTGTAACACATTTGAATCTAGGGTTAAACGTTTTTGTCAATAATCTGGCTCTATTTTTTATTTTTTGTCAATAGTATGAGCATAAATTGAGTCACAATCTTTCTCCTAATTGGGCTTGGCTAGTTTTGGGCCTAATAGTAATTTCAATTTGAGGGTCACAGAAATGCAATAAACATATTGACAATAATAATAATGTACCAAACATAAAATTTGACTTCTAGTACTTTAGTTTTCTTAATCAAAGTTAAAGGAAATATTTTAATTTTTATAACTTTATTTTATTTTTATAAATTTATTTTATTTTTATTTATTTTTAATGATTTTATATTTTATATATTTATTTAGTTTTAATATGATCTTATATATTAATTATGTGGTGAAATATATCATAATTAAAAAAAATAATTTGTGTGTAAAAAAATATTACACTTGAAAAATAGGATCAAATAATATTAAGAATTAAAAGAATAGATAAAAAATAACGTTAAAAGATTTAAAGTGTTAATTTTGCCTTAAATAAATATCTATATATAATTTGAAATTGTAAGTTTGAATCCTTACTCATCTCTTTGAGATCAAGTAAATATTAAATTTCGTGTAACTATTTTTTAAGCCCAATGACATTACTTACCTTAAAATGAAATACCATATTTTTTTCTCAAATTTTTTTATCACCAATAAAATAAAAAATCAAAGCTAATCATACTACTGATAATGTCCATTTAAATCAACACGTTATGGTTAATTCAAGTTTTAAATATAACATTATATGTATTTTTATACAATTGTTCATTTAAAGTTTTATTTTAATAAATTTTATTATAAAGGTAGATAATAAAAATTATTAAAATAAAACTTTAATTTTACTTAAAAATTGTATAGAAAACCTATAATATTGTATATAAATTTTGTCTTGTAAAAAAATATCATTATTAAAATATCAAAAATAATTTTTGAACCTTTGGAAATAGACACTACAGGGAAACTCGATACATTCTAAGTTTGGATGTGACACGTAGATACAAATAAGTGTGACAAAATATTTAAATATGATATAAGTATTTAAAAAGTTATTCAAATAATAGAACTCTCATAGCATTAGCCTATTAAACGGCAACGCAAGTTAATATTTAAAAAATAAATAGGTCTAGAATACAGCTAAAAAAATCACTTATTTATTTACATTCTTAGTTTTAGTTACAGCATTAACGTAAACTAATAAATTTTTTTAGTGTAACATAAATTATACAATTGAAACTGTAAACAATTGCTTTCAATTAGTCTGATTTTTATCATGATTGAATAAATTTCATTTTTCAATATATTGAATATTCTTATCGATTTTACGCACTTTTTCACATTATGAATACGAATTTAATTATATGTTATAAATTATTGAAATAGTTAAAATTTCCTTATAAAGAAGAATATCAGAATTATATACTCTCTTTTTAACATGTTTTTAGTTATTAAATACAAGTAAAAATAAAGAATTTATTTTAAAAAAAACATATTAAAGATAATTTTTTTAACATTTCTTTCCTTATAAAATATGTTAATATTATATTTTTTTTATATATCCTTTTAATACACATTGGTAGAGTTGATATAAATCATATTAAATAATATGTATCTAGTTTATATTTAACGAGATTTGAATAAAATTTATCTAATAAAAAATGTGTAAAAACAATGTATCAAGCAATGTATTATCAACATTTTGCTCTTTTTATTGTATTATTATCTGAACTTTAATATTTCGGATAAATGTAATTAATTAAAGATTTAGCTAAACAAGGGAAGTTGTTTATCTAACACCATTTGGGAATGCAGTCTCATACAGACTAAAGGAATTGGCATAAAATCGAGAGTTTTGTTTTAGCCTTCAAAATTTGGCTGAGGATTTTTCAATTGCTCACCGTAGAATATCTCCATTTATCATTGTGATTGGTATGAGTCCTATGGAAACGAGAAAGGAAAGAAAATATAGCACTAAGAAGCAAATAAAGTTATATTTAGCCTGCCCGTCTAAGGTAACTTCAGATATAAAAACACAAAAGAAAAAAAAGGAGGGTCTGGGGACAAGAAAAGCTAGAAGATGTTGAAGTTGTAAATCTGAGGTTGACATAACTTGCACTGACATAAGTGTTAAGCAACTCATTTTGAGCAGGCCAGAAACCAGCCTTGAGACCAGTTTTTCTCACTGCTTTAAGGATTTTGTTCTTGTGTGCATAACTGGTGGCAACAACCTTCTGGATGTTAGCATCCACTTCCTCCTTCTCTATTCCTGCAAGTGGATTCATTGCCAACATCAAATTTTGATTAATTCAACTACCGAGTACTAAATATGAATTATTATGGCATGGGTTGGCAATGATTTACATCTACAACAATAAACCAACCTTTCAATTTTGAGAGGCATTTCCTTAGTCTTTTCTCGTGTATCCCAACCATCTTCACTTTTAACTCAACAATCTGCCATGCAAAACAATGCTTCATTATTATTCATTCATCATAATTCACATAAAAGGTGGGATGGAAAGAGCAAATATTCCTTCATTCACAATCTAATATAGAATCATATATGAAAATTCTATAAACTAAAACACCCATTTTCTCTTATTTTTTTAAACCAACTTTACGATGACCAAAGATGCAGAAAATAGAGACAATAAATTGCTAGTGCTTAGATAAACTAAGCAACAGTCTAAAACTTAAAGGAGCAAAACCTCCATGAAAAATGCTGTGAGGAAATGATGCTACAAATGTTTGAGAGGGAACGGGGCAGTAGCAATGAATAAAGTGAGGCAGAATGATCCAGAAGCAACAATTGAAATGAGGGTAAATCCAATGAGACACAGAGAATGACAGTGTATTATATATAACAGTTAACACCTAAGACAAGCCTAGCCAACATTAAAGTGAAGACTGAGGAGAGTCTGGAGGCAGTTTGAACTAGTATAGTAAGCACTGAGCAAAATCACATGCTTTCCAGGGACAGAAGCTCGCTGAGCTTTAGAATATGCGTCCCAAGAAACGAGGCTTTAGATTTACTCAAAGGAATGATGAGTACATGCGAATTTGAAATGATTGGCTTTGACAGGACCAACTTGGCTTTTGCCCCTTTTGACCAAAGTTGTACACAGATTGAGGAAAGAAAGGAAATGGATAAAGAGAATCTTGGCTTTGATGCATGTTCAACATCTGACATATATGATCTATCTAGAATTTATCAACTAGTAAATTGAATTGATAGATGAAAATTTAATTAGGAGCTTTATGTCTGATTCTTAATATATTGAAAACAAAACATACTATATTGAAGTTCCTAGTTGTTTAAATATATGCATGATCAACATCCAAACAAAATAAAAATATGCATGATAAAAATACTAAAATCACGTAATGGCAAGATATGTAACAATTAACCACAAATCATATGGATCACCTGACATATCAACAATTGTTCCAATTTAATATATGATTTTGAATTTGAATTCTATTGAATACAGTAGTGTTAAATATTCAAAGAGAGTTTTAACACCTACGTTAGTTCTATACAACTTGAATAAGATTACTTCAAGACACTTGTGATCTAAAAAATATATAACAATTAGTATATTTTATAAATATTTTTAATTTTATTTTATAATTTCTTTATTGTTTTATTTTTCAAATTGATAAAAAGATTTGTGAGTTAAGCAGTAAGAATCTGACTTTAAAAAATGGACAATTATTTTCTTGTGATATAGCATATGGTATTTCATTTTGCATAAACGTGGAAAAGATAAAAATGGAAAACAGAAAGAAGAGAGAATAGAAAATGTTAATATGCAGAAAACAAGGAGAATAAAAACATGAAAACGCAGAAAGTAGGGTATAATTGAGTTGGTTTTCCTTACCCTAAAATATTAGATGTTTCGAGTAAATATTTTACCAGTGACTCATCTCATCAAATGATCCAAATGACTCAAATGAATATGTGAAATTCTCTGCGTCGCTTGTAGTGATGCAAAACACTGCAAAATGCTCTCAGTTGCAATTGGACATGGGAAGTGGGCCCAATGGATACCCAATCCCACATCAGAGTCCACAAATGTCCACATTGCGGCCCATCAGAATTAAAATGATTTTAACTAGAAAAATTTGGATTTATCAATATTTTTATTTTAATTTGATTTAAATTAAAATAAAAATAAATTCAATATTTAGATTGTGTCCAAATTTTAGTTTTCATTTTTTTAGAAAATAAAAAAAAATATTTAAATGCATAACATGTGTGTATATAATAAAAAAAATTAATTCAAAACGTCAAATATCTCATTTCATAAATTTAGTCTCTACAGATTTTTAATTGATAATAATGTGTTTGACTCTAATTTTATCTAACTATTAATAAAAGGGTGGCATAGGCTTATAACTTGGCACCTTTCATTTCTAACTAGGCAAAACAAAACCAAGCCTAAGTGCGTTTTGTAAAGTCAAGAGTAACGTTTTAATTATCATTTATCTTACTTGATTAACTTAAAATTTTGTCTGACTAAAATAGATATATTTAGCAAAAGAGTTTGTTTGAATAATATATAGAATTTTTTTCCATTTTTATTTGATCTTATCATGATTCAGATTTTAACCCTTGGCATTACTTATACAACCCCCATTAAATAATAATAATAATAATAATAATAATAACTCTTTGTTTAAAACTCAAGAGACTACTGAGGCAAATTAG